ACAAAGTTAGTAACAACAAAGTTTGTAACAACAAATAACAAAGTTAGTTATAGTAAAATACCGATTTACCGCAAACCCCCAATATACCGTGACTCTTTATCTCCCCCAAACAATGAAGCTTGATGCTCAGGTAAGGGCCAATCAAATTGAGAGGAATAATAAAAATGCACGTTCACCACAAATACCAAAGAAAAAACAACCCGTACATTTTTACTATTATAGAAATAGCACTCTACCTTGCTAAGTTAGAAAAGGGAAGATTATACACGAAAGACATCGATCTATGACAGGGTGCGAAGTCGATTTCCAATTGACCGAAATTCTTGGTAATGCAAATTTACTAAATTAGCCTGATTTGGAACCCTGTAAACGGGGGTTTTAATTTGAATATATAAATCATAAATAAATACTACCGGGGGAAATAAGAAACGCCCAATAAATTAGCCTCAACTTTATCATTATTTACGAAGCACGGTACTTCTCGGTGCAAAGATCTGAGAGTTGATTACAACGTTACTCTGCTATCAGTGAGACTAAACTCTACAAATATCAGAGATTCAGGTACAACTATTCTGCTACAAGTGAGGTTTAACTCAACAAATATCAGAGATTCAGGTACAACGTTATTCTGCTATCAGTGAGGTTCAACTCTACAAATATCAGAGATTCAGGTACAACTATTCTGCTACAAGTGAGGTTTAACTCTACAAATATCAGAGATTCAGGTACAACTATTCTGCTACAAGTGAGGCTTAACTCTACAAATATCAGAGAGTCAGGTACAACGTTACTCTATAGTAAGTGAGGCTTAACTCTACAAATATCAGAGATTCAGGTACAACTATTCTGCTACAAGTGAGGTTTAACTCTACAAATATCAGAGATTCAGGTACAACTATTCTGCTACAAGTGAGGCTTAACTCTACAAATATCAGAGATTCAGGTACAACTATTCTGCTACAAGTGAGGCTTAACTCTACAAATATCAGAGAGTCAGGTACAACGTTACTCTATAGTAAGTGAGGCTTAACTCTACAAATATCAGAGATTCAGGTACAACTATTCTGCTACAAGTGAGGTTTAACTCTACAAATATCAGAGATTCAGGTACAACTATTCTGCTACAAGTGAGGCTTAACTCTACAAATATCAGAGATTCAGGTACAACTATTCTGCTACAAGTGAGGCTTAACTCTACAAATATCAGAGATTCAGGTACAACTATTCTGCTACAAGTGAGGTTTAACTCTACAAATATCAGAGATTCAGGTACAACTATTCTGCTACAAGTGAGGCTTAACTCTACAAATATCAGAGATTCAGGTACAACTATTCTGCTACAAGTGAGGTTTAACTCTACAAATATCAGAGATTCAGGTACAACGTTACTCTGCTACATGTGAGGTTCAACTCTACAAATATCAGAGAGTCAGGTACCTGGTACAACGTTACTCTGCAGTCAACTCCCTGCACTGAGCAATCTCCCCGTCTCTGATCCCATTAAGAGAGCGACGCGCTGCGCGTGGTGGATTTCGCAGAGCTCCCTCTACATCACGCTGCGTGTCACCCGTCGTGTCACTTTATACCCTTCATACTGATAGACCCGTTTAAAGAGGGAGCCATTACCTGGCGATCTAACTATTTATTGTAACGTTCAGCACACAACAAGGGATTAGTTCTCAAGTCTGGTCACGTGGTATGTTGTTCAGGTTCTAGAAGTGATAGTTCTAAATTGCTATAATAGCAGGTAGATACATTTAATCTAAAGATCTAAGTAGGATTACAATTTGTTAAGTTATCGAAACTATATTTAAGCAGAAATGAGATATTTATGTTTATGATTTGTTATAATGATTATGCTCTGTCGTTGTTTCAAGAACAGTTGACGTCCGCAGGTTTGAGTTTTCACGTGATAGCTATCAGCCAATCAATTTTCAGCATCGACCAATTAAATCCCACGATGACCATCGTGTGATCAGCATCATCCATAACACTGCACTGCGATACCAATACTGGGAACATTTCACAAATCGAACACTAAGAAAGCACGAAATTGACAAGAAACGAAAACGATTTGTAAAACGTACGGGATCCCTCCGCTCTCTCTCTCTCTCTCTTTCTCTCTCTCTCTCTCTCTCTCTCTCTCTCTCTCTCTCTCTCTCTCTCTCTCTCTCTCTCTCTCTCTCTCTCTCTCTCTCTCTCTCTCTCTTTCTCTCCCCCACTTTATTGTAGATGCGCATAAAGAAATTCCCGAGTAAAGCTGGGGACAAACTTTACTTAATTCTGGTGGGACAGGTGTCACTAATTCGAGGGGGAATATTTAGTGCAGGCGTATAATATCTCTTTACTTTCACCAACACCTCCACCACACCGCTCGGTAATACACTCTTAATTGTGGTAGTGATGGTGTCCATTGGTAATGAGTCATGATCACTGCTGGAGTTGTAGTGATTGTAGAGGTATTTTTTAAAACTGTGTGCTAGGTTAACGTGAGATGTACGAAACCTCTTTATGTCATGCAAATCACAAAAGTTGACAAAACAAAGTTAAGGCTGGAAAAGTTCACTCAATTAGAATATGACAACAGAGTTCATACAACTACGTGAAGTGAATTACAACTTACAGTACCCCAGTTCAGAACACAATACTTGTACAAAACACCAATTAACACTACAACCACGACTATTTCTCTTTGTTTTACTGATAATGGGTGCAGTACAGGAGGCTTAATGGGACGTTTACTGTAGGGGGAGGCGGTGCACTGTTAACTGGGATTCAAATAAAGTGATAATAAAGCTTAGTAAATATCTCTGTGAGTAGATAAAAAACAATTTGAGCTTTAAGGTGGCCATTACCAATTCTCCTTTCGCCTATTTATTTCTCTATTTTTCCTCTTTTTATTAGTTGTAGAGCTGCTCGATAGCGTTTTATTACTACTATGGTTAACGAATAGCTTCCTGGTTATTTGGTATCTTGAGTGTCATTATTTACTTCTTTTCCGGATGTGGCAAGACTTTTTGTAACTTCATAATCTGTTCATTTTAATAGCTTCAGTAATAGCTTCAGTAAAAGATTTAAACCCGGTTATTTGTCAATTTTATGGTGAAGTAAAGTAGTCTGTTAGTCGAAGTTGTGGTATATCACAGGGACTGTATAAACAGGAGTAACATTATCTAAGAATTTCCAAAATTAGTAAACCCTCCCCAACTATTCAACATTGTTCACACACGATTCGTGTACCTTCTTAGCTTATCAATTACAGTGAATGGGATATTGACTTTGAGTAGGGAATGTTAGGACATGATTAGATCTTGTGATATAGATAAGAATAGCTCATCGCATGTAATACTCAACAAGTTGGTATAGTATATTTTTACTACAAGCTTACAGGAAAAATGTTTCATCCTTTTATTTTGTGCTCGATAGACTCGGCCTGGGTCTGCTGCCTTATAAAACGAAACATATCTATTCATTCCTATAGCTCATCTTATATACCTCATATTCACGCTGTTATCAATCTACCTTTCTGTTCGTATTGATTCGTGATCAAAGGGACAGTTTCAATATTTCGTATTATTACAACGTGTTCATACATTTTTCTTGTACGATTTTAAAGTTTTCTCGAATATGGGTGTTGACTGTTGTGCCTTATAATATGGTAAACACTAAGTTATCTGCTTACCTAGCTCTTAGGCTTCCTCAAACCTGTGCATCCGCTAGCTGAAAGCTTATTTCAAGGAAATTTAAAATCAGTTATGTTATAGTTTCTTGTTATCATCTATCTATCTATGATCTAGCTCCGTTTATTTTACCTCACTTCCGATGTTAATTATAGAAAATCTAAAGCCCTATTAAACATTCTAAGAATGCAATATCCTATTCCTATCCCTTTTTTACAACCCTGCTAAAAATGGCTTTCAAGGTTTCAACAAAAAGGTTTCAACTCCATTTGTGAGCTGAAAGTGGTGACACCAGAGGGTCATTTTTAGGTCGATTTTCAGTGTTTTTGTCCGGTATTTGCAATTGCAATACTCGATAGTAGCAGGTGGGCGTTCCCCCAATAGATAAATCGTGATAGTACTGATCTGTTGATTGTAGTAGGTTGTCTTGATTCTTATCAGTTCCGGTCTATCATTGTTTCGTCATAAGATCATACAACCCGGTAGATTATAACAAAGCGTAATTGGGTATTATAACCTCAACTGCAGGCCGGGTGTCATCGTTTCACATTTTGACGAGCACATTTAATTTCCATATATCTCTAAACCAATTTGTCTTATTGTTAGAAAGTGTTACCTAATTTAGGAAGAACTGCTCAAAGTTAGAAAGCATATAATTCAATGGCAATCTTTTAACAAGCCCTTGAATTTCTGAGAGAGTAGATTGAGTCCTCTGAACTTCTCACAGATAAAATCAGTCTCACGCCTATCAACTTGAGCTTGAGATAATTTGTTGTTGAGCAGTTTGTGGCAGAGCAGAACTGGAATTGTGTAATGTGGTGATAGAGTGAGGATTATTAAATTAAGCTTACTTTTGTGATTTCTCCTTTCTGTGGCTTTGTCAGCCTATACGATTTCCCTGAAAATTCAAAAATTGTTGAGTCCTGAGACTTCTGACTCCCTGTGCTAACATTTCATGATTTTGCCTAAAATATACTTCACAGCCTGATTAGTAGTTCCCTTAACTCAGAACATGACGTTTGTTGAACAGCATCCAATATTACCTATTCTAATCTTATCATAATTCATTTTCACATGTTCATAAGTTACAGGCTCTGATAAGAGAATTTCCAGAGCAGTGGCGAATTGTTATCAAATACTACAAATGACACACCGCTGATAAAAACATATTCTTGCACTAAAATAAACCAATATAAGCAGTTCCGGTATAGCAACTGTAACGTGATCTTATCAAAACATCCTGCACCAATGTATTTTCACCGCATACACAGTTTTGTCATGACAAATGAGAGGCTCGTGATTATTGCTTATCTTCAGTTGAGTAGGTTAGCAACCTTATCTTCGTCCTCATTTCTCAAGTTACTGCAGTATGTTACGTTTGTTGAGTGTGGTTGTGTTAGTTTGGGGCGTCTCGGCGTTTGACCTTCTTGGTCAGGACATGGTTGACTACATCAACAAGCAACCGAACATGACTTGGACAGCCGGCACAAACTTTGCTGTGAGTTTTGGGGCTATAAGTTGTTAAAATCGGAGTAACGTTTTATTTTCATAGAATCAGCAACATTTCCGAAGAATTACCAGCATAATTAATACTGAAAAAACGTTCAAAATCTTCCTCCTTTTAAATCACTGAGCCAGTGTTTTCAATAAATGCCATAGATTTAGTTCACAAATTTATTTTTCCAATTATTCTCAGGGACAAAGCATCCAGGATGCAGTAAAACTACTCGGAGCTCTAAAAAACCCCCTGCTTAAAGCAAAGAGGGCGACAATGTGGCACAACATTGATCTCGAGACTATCCCAGATACTTTCGACTCCAGGACAAACTGGCCTGACTGCCCCTCTATTGGAGATATCCGTGATCAAGGTTTAGGAATTTAGCAAAACTACAATTTATTTAGGCGTACCTGGACAATTAAGGTATACAGGTAATGATAACATTTTATTAATTGCATAAGTTATAACATCTAATCTTTTAAGGTGAGTGTGGAAGTTGTTGGGCTTTTGGAGCAGCGGAAGCGATCAGTGACAGAGTCTGCATCCACAATAATATCAAGGTAAGTCGTTTATCAGGGTACAATTTAGGATGTAGATCTAATATTTATGGGATGAGAATTATAAAATAAATCAACAAATTTTAATTAATGTTTCTTTAATATAACACATTAAATAGTATTTTCTGTAACTAGGTAAACATATCCGCAAATGTTTCTTTAATATAACACATTAATCAGTATTTTCTGTAACTAGGTAAACATATCCGCAAATGTTTCTTTAATATAACACATTAATCAGTATTTTCTGTAACTAGGTAAACATATCCGCAAATGTTTCTTTAATATAACACATTAATTAGTATTTTCTGTAACTAGGTAAACATATCCGCAAATGTTTCTTTAATATAACACATTAATCAGTATTTTCTGTTACTAGGTAAACATATCCGCAAATGACCTTCTGTCTTGTTGTGAGTCCTGTGGGTTTGGGTGCAATGGAGGCTTCCCTCCTTCAGCCTGGGATTACTGGGTTGGTAAGTGGCCACTATTTCAGTATTTCACTATTTCACTATTTCACTATTTCACTATTTCAGTATGAAACTATTACATTACAGGCTCATCCGAACTTTAATTACTGGGTTGGTAAGTGGCCACTATTTCAGTATAAAACTATTACATTACAAGCTCATCCGAACTTTAATTACAAAACTATGGAAACCGAAATCCCAGCGAGTGATCCAATATGAGTGATCTTATCAAATCAAATAAACATTCGCCTGCCAGACTGAGTATAAAACCCCTTTTTTAGAGACGGGTCTAGTGACAGGTGGCCAGCATGGTTCTGACTCAGGATGTCAACCCTACACATTCCGGCACTGCGAACATCACGTGACAGGACCGTATCCTGGGTGCACTGGAGAGGGACCTACACCTGAGTGCCAGCAACAGTGCAGGGAAGGTGGGTATCTTTTGATTTTCAGAGAAAATGTTGTATTTTTTAGAGATAATGTTATTTATGTATTATACTGAATGTTGGAATGAAGAAAGTGTAATATACTTACTTATAATTAATATTATTAATCAACTATATACAGCAAACACAAGATAATAGGAAATAAATCATAAAATCGAGTGGCCGAGTAGTCTCGACTCACCCGTAGCTTCTCCATAAGCGTCTATCATGAGCTTTGTACACTAAATCGTTGAAATTACTTAAACTAAATCTTTTATTTACAATCACAATAATATTCTTCGTCATAATGTCTTTTAATAATAAATCAAATAAATTTGAACGAGGTCTGCCCCTCCTTCCTTTGTAGTCAAGACATCCTAAACATGCAAATCTAAAAGATAAGAAAGCGGGAGTGTCATCACCGCTTCTGAGAACGTGCCCAAGCATCTTCCATCGTGCTTTCTTGATCCTTTCAGTAAGGGGACTGACATTACATCTCTTATATAAGTTCTCGTTACTGATAACCGTAGGCCAATAGGTGTTGATTATCTGTCTCAGATGCTTCCTTTGAAGAACGTCGACAGATGCCATTACGGTTTCAGGAGCAGCCCAGCTGCTACAGTTATACAACAACACTGAAGTGACAAGAGCTTCATACAACTTCAGCTTTCTACTCTCACTGATCTGAACAGAACTATTCAACCAGACTTTCTTGTAGGTGTAGAAGGCAACATTGGCTTTGTTGCGTCTGTTGACAATATCTCTTTCTGAACAGAGCTTTGATCCTAATAGCACTGACTCTCGCCACTCTTCATTTCCTCTGATTTTATTGCCATGGGCATCCAAAGCATCTGTCTCTGCCAAATACACTCTTGTAAACACCGTCTTTGATTCGTTAACAAAGAGGCTCCAGTCCTTTAGTATGTCACTGGCAATCTCTAGTATCTTCACCAGACTCTGACCATCTTCACTCAGAAGCTCAGCATCGTCAGCATAGGCGGACTCTAACGGGAGGCCTCTATCAGAGACTGGGGGGTTTGGTCTAGGAATCGTGACACTGATCACGGCTCTGATGTGATTCAGGGCACCGGCAAGGGTCAATGTAAACACTTTACCAGCCAGACTGTCTCCCTGGTAAGCGCCAATATTAATCACAAATTCACCAGACTCAGCTCTGTTGACCGTCACCTTGAGCTTTGTATTTGAGAGGAGGTACTGAACCAGGCGAATGTCGTCTCTAGAGCATCCTGCATCAATGAGGAGGTTGATGATGGTCTGTCTGCGGATGGTATTAAGCGCAGCGGTCATGTCAATGTTGATTTTACTATACTCAAACTCGCGCCTGGTAACCACTGATGTCAACATTCTCTGAGACCAAACCAGGTCAGCACAACTGCGACCCTGCTTGTATGCCGCCTGCCAAGGTCCAGTGTACATATCAACGTGGTAATTGATTCTGTTCAAGGCTACGAGGGATAGGACTTTTCGAGTACCATTTAGCAATGTGAGGGGCCGGATAGACTTTACCGGACCTCGGGGTTTTCCTGGCTTCTGAAGGGGTGTCAGGATACCTTCTCCAATAGCTGGGATGTATGTGTTGGTCTCAAAGGAGAGATTGTAGATCCTAGCCAACTCATAGTGGAGGGGATATCCAGCAGCTTTCATTAGCTCATTAGGTATACCGTCAGGGCCACACGCTCTACCGGATTTCAGCTTCATAACAGCACGGCCAACTTCTTCAAGTGTTATGGGACAGAGGAGGCTTCCAGGAGGGTCTATAAATGCTGGGAGGTTGGGTTCATCTTTGTCATTGAACTCATTATTAAAATATTCTTTAATAGCTTCTGCTTTTAATGAGTCAGATCCTAAGGTGTTGCCGTCTGCATCGTGGACAGTCACTCCATCTTTCTTCATCCTACACTGGGCCAAAGTTCTATTCGCTTCAAACATGCTTCTGCAGCTGTCGGTGGCGGGCCACTGCTAACTAGGGCGTTAGCAGTGGCCTCGTTGATAGATTTCAACCTCTTTTTGATGGTACGTTTGAGATGGTTGATTCTTTTTCTGAGGTCACTCCTGTCACTTATCCCTGTGAGGCTACATTCTTGCTGAAGGGACTTTCTCTCTGCTGAAAGTTTAACGACAGTTGGATCGTCGCTGTACTGATGAGGCTTCCCCGGGGGCACTTTACCAACCACCTGGACGGCACATTTACTCAATATACCAAAAATATCAGAATTTTCAGAAATAGCATTATTAGTTAAAACTCTACAATCAATATTACTTTTAAAAGAATCAAAAAATTTAGACTTAATATCAGAATCATTAAGGCGATTGACATCAAACCTTATTTTGTCAGACCTGGGCCGCTTATGTACAATGTATTCACAACCAAGTTTAAAACGTGCGACCACAGGTTTATGGTCAGATTTCACAAAATCACCGCAAAAAGAGCGGGAGTCTGTTAAACAGACTTTAAAGTTAGTACGACATAAAATATAATCAATTTGTTTAAAATAGTTCACAGTGTCTTTTGAACCCTTGGGTGCCCTTGGGAACACATCTAGCCTTCCAGGTGGTAATATACTTCGCTCTGTGTTGGAACGCAGTATTGCACGCAAACAGACCATTATCAACAATAAAGTCCAGTAGAAACTCACCGTTCCTGTTTCTCAGACCATTACCGAACTGACCAATATGATTATTAATAATTAATTAATTAATAATTAATAATTAATATAGATATTTTTATACTTAGAATAAATGCAAATTGTTGAGTTATAATTTGTTAACGTGAGATGTGACAGATAATTTTTAAGGGTACGCAAACTCATACAAGCAGGACAAGCATTTTGGAAAAACTGCCTACAACATCGGTAGCTCGGCTGCCAACATCCAGACTGAAATCATGAAGAATGGACCAGTGGAGGCAGCGTTCACGGTCTACAACGACTTTTTACTTTATAAAAGTGGAGTCTATCAACATGTTACAGGTAACACATTTAACGGTGAACCAATTACTGGTGTCTCGACACGAAAAAGCATTCTAAGTAGGAGGTATTTTTACAACTCTCTTACCTTAAACCTTTTACTTCCAACATTTTCTTTTAAATGAATTGAATGAAGTTGGAGGTACTAAAAGTAAAGGAGCTAATGCTAAAAATAGCACATCATATACCATTTCATTTTTATATGTTCGAGTTTAATAAATCTTTAAACTCGGTACTGGTTGGAAGTGAACGATATTTATTTGTATACCTGACTATGATTCTGGGTTTTGATAGGTCAATGCTTGAAGCTGATTGGTTAATTGTTGTCACTACTAACTGGAACTAATCAGGTGGTGCCCTTGGAGGACACGCAATTCGTGTCCTGGGTTGGGGCTCTGATGGTGGGATTGGAGGAACTCCTTACTGGCTGGTGGCTAACTCATGGAACCCAACTTGGGGTGACCAGGGCTATTTCAAGATTCTTAGGGGCTCCAATGAATGTGGGATTGAAGAAGAATGCTGTGCGGGGAAACCCAAAAAGCCTAAGCATTACAATGTTGCCTAGGATATGCTTTAAAGAATGATGTTTGGAGAACTACAATTGATTTTTAGCATTTTAAAGTACAAATCTGTGAGTTATGAATTATGATTAAAACTACTGTGCTGACTACTTGGTTCTAAAATACTGATTCCACAATTCAAGATGATATGATTTAGTAATATTATTGTTATTTTTATTGATATGTTGTTGTAAATAATATGATAGTAAATATGAATAACATTATTTGGCCGTTGATCCATTTGACATTATGAAATTATTAATTTGCTCTTAATAAATGTAACACTGAAGTCTCATGTTAAGTGCACTATTTTAATTCACGACTGGCTAATACCACCATTATACCACTCATCACATATGAAATAACTATTACTACTAATTGTATCCTTCACAACATATTTGCTAATAATAGCAGTATTTACATGTTTGTAAGCCCTAAGCCGGCTCCATTGAGATTAATTTGAGATGGTCCTAAAAGAAAATTTTGGAAAAAATATGAATTTACTGGTTTAAATGTGTGCTGGAAGATGTTGCAGTGTTTTTAATGTCCAAGTTATTCTCTACATTGAGCAGGTAAATCGGTTATCAATATTATATAAACTAAATGATCAATACAAATGGCCAAAAGGTTCTTCATACGATTTTTAAAGACCTTGAACACATATTCAAAAACATAATTTAATCAATGTAAACATTTATTCCATCAACTGAATCAAAATAATAATATTTCTCGCTATGTAAGATAACCTCAGGAAATGGTTATATATATATTAGCAGAGCTACGATCCTGTGTCGTAACAACGAGCCCTACTGAGCCCAGAACCCGGCATGCAGGGAGAAGTTTTTCACAAAAAAATTGTTAAAGGTTTCGCTTTTTTCTACCAAACTAGCATTATCAATGTCATAAACATATATGGTTTAGTATGATATCCTTCTCCAATGGAACAAGATTGTAAATGGATTGTTTTATACCTTACAAGACATATTTATATTCGACATAATTCCGGTGACCTAAATGATTTGGGAACGAAAATATGGGATTTTTTCCAAAATTACCGCATTTCGTACCCCAAATTAAATCATGGTATTTGGGGATTTTTTTTCATTTCTTTTTTTTTACGAAAATAAAACCCAATATTTGAGAAAATAAATAAAATAAAATATAAAATTTGAAAAATTACAAGTCAATTTCTTCTTGATCTTCTTGATCTTCTGGTTAAGGGACGTTTCTCTTTCCAGTTTAGTCCCAGGTACGTACCGTGAAGGCACCTCTAACAAGCTGTTTCATCTTATAAACAGTTTCTCCGGCGCCTTTGAAAGTTAGTTTATTTTGACTTCCAATCCTCCAGACGGAATAGGAGACCACCGGTGTTTTTTACCCTCCAACACTCCCGAAATTTCTTAAAATCATTTTTAAAGCAATTCATGATCGAATACTAGTGTTCATTTGTTAAATGAATCATATTTATAACCATATTGATAGTAAATCGACAAAGTCCTAGTCATAATTAAAGAAAATACGTGAAAAATAATTTGGGAAAATAACGATGGTGACCTAAATTTTGGAAGTCCGAAAATATGGTGTGTTTTTTCGGAAAACCACGACTCTCGTGTTGCTCTATCCAGAGCCATTGCGCTTGCAGTAGCGCACGCCTTGACTTGTGAAACTAGCGCGCCCGCAGGGGCGTGAAACATGAAAGCACATGGTTAGGTACAAAACTTTCGTGCACCTTTTAAATATGTCTCGTTATGTATTTTGTTCTGGGATCCTATCAATATTGATTCTAATCGTATGTACAAGCTGATTTGTTGTGAAAATCCTTAAACAATTTATACCCAGCAAACGTTACTGCCTGGTGCTATTACTGATTACTATATGTGATTGCGTCTTCACAGCTTATTGAGCTTCGCGCGCGCTGCGCTCGTAAGTTCATTGCATTTGCAGGCTTTAAACGTTCCAACAATGCAATTGCACCACGTACCACGTGATACAATTCAACCAATCAGAGAACAAGAATCCGCAAAATTAAAGCTGCGCACTTTTATTTGGCCCAAAATCTTAACGTGTAACGGGTGATACTCGTAAAATATTTGTTCCAACTCGGTGCGCCGCGGCGCGCGTCCTTACCTGTTACCTGGGGACCTCAGGCTATCATGTTCGTTAATAATCATTCATTAATAGAGATTCGGCGGAATGACAGGCTGAGCGCGGCTTGTATCACGTTGCGACCCCGACGGTCGTTTCACTTTATTGTCCTGACGATACAGGGGAGCCGCGCACTTCGTGCGCGGCGGGTCATACAACGTATGACAAAGCGCGGCCCAGTAACGCGCGTCCTGGCCTGGTAGGTTATAAACTGCATGGTAGGTTATAAACCTACAACTAGTTATAAACTGGTAGGTTGTAAACCTACAACTCAAAATCATACTTTTCGCGATAATTCAAAATCTATAATGTCCCAAATTTTGCTTCTGGTGAGCTAATTTAAGTTTTACCATTTACGAAACGAACATTTTGCTGAAAACCAGAACTTTCTGATTATTTTACTTCCGAAGTTAGGTTGTAGGTTTACAACCTACCAGGACGCGCGCCGAGTTGGACTCGTCGACGGTCCAATATATGGAACAGATATTTTACGAGTATCACCCGTTAAAAGTTAGGCCCCTATCAATAAGGTTTCTTGGGTATTTAATGGTTATCTGGGGACCCCAGGCTATAGCTATAATATAATGTTTATTCAATTAACAATTAATATAATATAATGTTCATTGTTCATACAGGGTGAGCCAAAAGTCAGTACCCAAACATTGGCCTTAATAGCTCCGCCGTGTTTTATATTTGAGAGCTGTTGCTTTGCAGATGGCATACTGTACTTACTGGTTCGAGGATTCCGTCGTCAAAATTTGAAAATTCGAATATTTTAGACCACGCCCATTCAATATTAAAACACCTATATCATATATTGTTTTTTCTGAACTTAATTGACGATGTCAATTCATGGCAGCTCGGCGCGGCACAGTAGCGCATCTCGCCGATCTAGCCTTATTGAGTGCGCGGCGCGGCACAGTAACGCATCGCGCTACAATTTCTGAATATGCTGAACGCCTAATTTTTTCAGAGACGGCAGATTATCAAATGTTGCATATGATCTTTGATTCACGATGTCAATCCTTCGCATCTCGCCGATCTGCATACGGTGGTTGCGAGAAGCATTATTGGATGCGCGCGCGCGACCCAGTAGTGCATCGCGCTACAAATATGATCTGAAAACATGAGGCAAAACGGATTAGAAATGACGAAGTTATCAAGCATTTTCTGTATATCGTTAACAAAATTGACTGGGTGATTATGTGGCACCGTGACGCGACACCTTAATTGGGCACCCTTCACAATTCCCATAATGTTTAACGGGGTAGGTAACGGGGGCACCTTATCACGTGATTAGGCAAACCAATCACCTGGTCACACGTAATGAATAAACTCGTTATGCTTCATATCTCGGTCATTTGAGAAGCTAGACAGTTCTAATTCTTTCAGGACAAACCTAATTTGAATGGCCTAACACAATTCAATAACATTTAGCTTGATCCAACTATCCAAACTATCAAATAAATGTGAAAATAAACCTCCATTTGAAAAAAATGAACGCCAATATTTTTCGAGTTGACAAATTCCTCGAACCAGTGGTGGTACTAAGTCATACCAGAAAGAAGTATTTAAATTGGGCATTCAGTGACTGAGCTATAAAGGCCAACGTATGGGTACTGACTTTTGGCCCACCCTGTATATAAAATAAAATTGTAGGTTTATAACCTACCAAGACTTAACGGGTGATACTCGTAAAATATCTGTTGCATATATTAGGCGCGCGTCCTGGTAAGTTGTAAAATTACAAACCAAGACGCTCGCCGAGTTGGACTCTTCGACGGTCTTGATATTTGTTACCTGAGGACCCCAGGCTATTATTGATTATGTTCATTAACAATAAAGATTTGGCGGAATGACAGGCTGAGCGCGGCCCAGTAAGATATTTGAAACAAATGTTTACGAGTATCACACGTTAAAGAATAGAAATTTAGCGGAATGACATGCTGAGCGCCGTTTAGTAAATTTAACGGTTGGCACTCGTAAAATACTTGTTCCAAAAAACCGTCGACGAGTCCTACCAACTCGGCGCGCGTTTTGGTAGATTATAAACCTACAAATACGTATGCGAAATAATTTTATAACTTGATTGATCCTGCACTAACAAGTTGCACCAGATTGCATATCACATATGCCGACTAAAATTAAACGGAGAATCGTTTTAGATTACGTTTTGGAGTTACTTACATGTTAAAGAGGTTCACATATTACGTGATCAGCCAAGGGGGGTTTCCAAATGATTACGCTAGTGTAATTCGGGGGGGGGGGGGGGGGCCAATGGCATAAAATGGCATAAAATGGCATAAAATGGAGACTTTTTCTATGGAGAAAATGGAAAAACCCATGAGTAATTCTCCATTTTCTCCATTTTATGCCATGAATTTTGTCTTCGAAATTTCATCTTTAACACCATTTAACACCTAAATTGGACATCCTAACATGTTTATTTACGCTTACTAGGGGCGTAACAAGCTTATGAAAGCTTATAGTAGGCTACTAGATGCTTATACTAGGTAGAGGCACACTTCAGGCAAACTCATAATTACTCAAGCCTAGTGTAAAGTTATTTCTACAGGCTACAGCAGGAGTGAGTAATAGGGGAGAGTAATAGGCACTGAGAAGTGAGACCTACATTGTACATCCTCGACAGTCGAAACAAGCTCGCACTGCAAAGGGGAGGCCTGCCTTCCGAGATCGCATTACCAGGGGGAAGCCTCGAGTCCAAATTTGTGTATCGACTATCGAGGGGTACGTGCAGACTTCGATAAACCGAAAAACCAAAAAAATATTTTCGGCTAATAATGAAGAGGGTAGCATAAAACGTGGAGAAAAGTGGTTTTTAGAAAAACTTTGAAACATTTTGACTTAGAAAATTTTCGGCCCGAGTCATTCTCGATACGTACCTCTCGTATCGAGAGCTCCCGATTCCGAGCTCGTATCGAGAGCTCCCGATTCCGAGCTCGTGTTGCAAAGGGGAGGCCTGCCTTCCGAGATCGCATTACCAGGGGGAAGCCTCGAGTCCAAAATTGTGTATCGACTATCGAGGGGTACGTGCAGACTTCGATATATACCGAAAAACCAAAAAAATATTTTCGGCTAATAATGAAGAGGGTAGCATAAAACGTGGAGAAAAGTGGTTTTTAGAAAAACTTTGAAACATTTTGACTTATAAAATGTTCTGAAATTTTTCAAATTTTTTCTGAAAACCGCTTTTCTCCACGTTTCATGCTACCCTGTTCATTATTTGCCGAAAATATTTTTTCCCCTCGATACACAATTTTGGACTCGAGGTAATGCGATCTCGGAAGGCAGGCCTCCCCTTTGCAACACGAGCTCGGAATCGGGAGCTCTCGATACGGGATGTACGTATCGAAAATGACTCGGACCGAAAATTTTTTGACATACGTTGCATGCCACTTTTCGCGCGCGAAGCGCGCGCCGCCGAAGATATCTTTTTTTAAAATAATTTTTCTCGAAATTCTAAATTTTTCAGGTTTTCAATGGCATAAAATGGCATAAAATGGAGACTATTTCTATTATTCCATGGAGAAAATGGAAAAACCCATGAGTAATTCTCCATTTTCTCCATTTATGCCATTGGCCCCCCCCCCTGTAATTCTTTGAGCAGCAGTTTCTTTGCACTATAGTCCTTCTGTGCCGTTAACAAGTTAATCATGCTATTGCGGATATATAAACTGCGCCATCTAGCAAATTAACAAATTCAGTTTGCGGTTGTGAATTATTACTCCAATTCTAAATTCACAGTTGAAACACACGACAGGGCATCTTTGAACTCCGCTACAGCACGTACGCGGGGGAGGGGTGACCACGCACTTGATTTGTGATTATACATTATACATTATGCATGGCAGGCCCGGCAGCGTTACTTTGGGAAATGGAAATAAGTCATCCCATTACCCCCCCCCCCCCCCCCCCCCCCCCCCCCCCCCCCCCCCCCATTTGTAATTGTAATTCTTACTGATATGTATATTATTCACTTTAAGTGATTTAGGTAACTTGTTTCAGGATAAGTACGTTCCAGTTTGTATTGATGGAGAAAGAAAACAAGAAATAGACACATTTCAAACATTTGACTCGAATATGTATAAAATTTATGATTATCAAAAGTTATTTCGAATTCCTGCATCCTGAATACATTCTCTAGAACTCCAGGTTTTAATATAATACTCTCCCAAATTTGCACATAGTAAACAATCGCAAATATGGTTAGGAATTTTGGTGAAAGTATATAAGGAAAAATACGCTTAAATAATATTATTGACTTATACCCAGAAACTAATTTAAATAAGTAAGGCAGCAATTTAGGAAACATAACCGATCAAGAAAATGTTCATTCCAATTTACCTATTTTATATATCTAATATCTCACATGTTACTATCACTAGAACATAATACGACAAAAATATGGAGAAGAAATAGGGGCGTTTTAATTCAAGTACTAGTAGTGAGTATTCAATTTTTAAATTTTCAGAAGAGTATACTAACTATCTTCTAAATTGATTTCTGGGAATAAAGTAGACTATTATAGGAATGATGTTTTATCCAGTATAAAATTCTTGCTTGCTTCATGATACAAGGCCGAGATATCATCCAAATCCACTTTTAGAGGATAAATATGTTTAACAGAGCTTACCCCAAAATATATCGCTATATCAACACACAAAACTCTATAGAAATTACCATGGCAACGTAAAACTAATAAAATAGCAGCAGTATATAATATATCACCTTTAAATTAAGAGCAGTCTCATCCTTATCGCTAAGTACGATAAAACAATGAATATGTACCAGACTAAAACGAAACAGTTTCAAAGAAAAAACACCTTGCAAAGTTACTCTGCCAATCAAAACATTCACCATTCGTGCTGCAACTTCCATTTCATAAATTAAATATATTTACTAATATTTACAAGACTGTTAAATACTGAAAGCTTAGTTTTGAAATTGGTTTGTCTCTCTCAGTTCTTATAGGCGAGGTTCTTCTCTTCAGATATTTAAAAATTTTAGAGAGACGCAGTAAACGGTGCACACTGAACATTTGTTGTTAACGTGGGAATAAGTTAATACAGCAGGAGATGGCACGAGTCCGGTTAAAAATCAGTTAAAAGATTCATATAAAACCTGAATTTGATAAACAGCAGCGGTGCGAAGTTTGTAGTTAAGTTAGTAGTTAAGTTACTAGTGCACTACTTCAACTGCTTGATAAGATTATTGATTCGCAAGGTTAACGGCCGCGCGGGTACAGTTCGATCCGATATAGGTTCCTAGTGAAATTCTTGGTCAGGATAGATTGTATTTATTGATCATATATCAATAACAAAAACAAGATAAACAGGCCACACCTTGTAATATAGGTTAAATTATCGACCCATTTTCTTGGCTTTAAAACGATGCTTTCATAAGTCACACAAAAATAATAGGCGCAAAAACTGCATTAAGTGTATCGGATTGAATTCAATGGATCATGAATGTGATTGTAATAAAATGCATTGAATTGACGTGAATTTCATTGAAAGGCTAACGACAAAAACATGGATTATACAGATCGAACTGTGGGCCTAGCCAGGACTGTTATGGTTTGCGCACTACACCAAGTGCGACCTGACCTGACTCGTTTCACATTGGATAATTAATAATTATAATACTTTGTGTCCGTGAGGGCAGTGAGTCTATCAGCTTCAACTAGTGTGACGTCACGGGTCGGAATATGACGTCACGTGAGATGCGTCAGACCTGTGTCCCAACTATCGATTCTGATTCTTCTGAAATTAAACAAATTTTAAAATGTTTGTAGGAATGAGATCATAACGCAAACATAACATAGCTATAGGGAATATACAGAATGGTATTGAAACAAGGAAATAACGTTATTTGAATATTGAATAATACCTGAAGAAATGCGAGGGCCCCATAATCTGACACTAGTATCATCAGATCCGGACACGAAACAGTCAGTGTAGACAGGGTTCCAGGAAACACAGGAAACTAGTCTGGTGTGACCAGGAAGTTTTAGGATAGGAGCTCCGCAGTCCCTTTTAAACACGTACACCAAATTATCTGGAGGAAAAGTCGTAAAAGGAGGCTCCTCTAAGAACATTTTACGAAAAGTAGACTTAATTCATAATCCAAATTCCAAATACTCAAAATATTGGAAACTGTGTACTTGCGAAATTCTAGTGGGATTAATTAATGGCTGATATTAGACTAATTAATGGCTGATATTATACTAATTAATGGCTGATATTATACTAATTAATGGCTGATATTACATACTAATTAATGACTGATATCACAAACCTTCGCTGCCACTGAGAATAAACTGTTCGTTAGCGCCGCCGAAACATGAGTTTATTTGGGTATCTGACTGCTGGAGACCGAAATATTTCCGGACTGTCGTCCCGGACGCTATATCTACCAGCACCAATCCCTAAAAGAAGAGGAGTTTTATTTCAAGTATGAGAATTTACTTAGTGTTCGTGATCTTAAGGACGGTTACGGAGCAGGAAAAGCATTGCAGACTCTATTTTTGTACATATTAGTATATACATTGTACATTGTACTGACCTGTTTCGACAAAGTGAGAAGGCAGTACTTCTCATCGCTTGACAAAGTCATGTTCATTATCTGATTCTCGTCTTCATAAATAGTTTGGTCGGTGTAATCCTCGAAATTGTACGATCTGACACGCTTATGACTGTCAGCAGCTAACACTGTCTTGTTATCCCGGAGAGTTGCGACAGAATGCAATCTGACACCCTCCCAATTGTAGACCGTGCTTGAGTGTATATCCTGGGGGAATAAAATACTTGGTTTAGTGGATCTTGTACTTTTTAAGTCAGTAAACATCATCTGCTTGCTATCAAAATCATGATAATGCCGATGGAGATTTATTTTCGGAACTCAAATATTTCCACACTGCGTACATGCGCGCAGAGCGCGCGCACTGCTAAATGATGTAAATGACCAGGTTTCATAGGGTAGCACTGAAATTTTGCTAGTTATTGGCGTTAACATTGCAAGGTCGTCCCACAATGGTAAACATCACATGAAAACATTAGGCCAGTCTCGGGCGATAATAGACATGAAGCTATCTTACGTATTTGTAAAATTGTCCCTGCTGGCCTCCAGTGTAAATGAAGCGGCTGTCAGGAGACCAAGCACAGCAGGTCAAAACGTCGTCAGTAGATTGAGATATCCTGCATTTTTCTACTGCTGAGTTTCCCTGAGATTTAATTTAGTTAAGTAAATAATTTCAAAAGCTTAGAATACATTAGTTGATTTCATATCAATAAGTCTCGGAAATAGAAGATAGTTTAGGGTTAGGTAAGAGAGTTAGAGTTATAAGGAAAGTAACAGAAACACAACTACTCACCGAAACAGCAACTGTGTAAACGACAGCCTCTGGACATTTCTCGACACCACACACACATATCATAGTGTCGTCAGGTGACCAGGATATGTATCCAACGTTAAATGTAACTGTTATCAGCTTATCTTCAACTAACTGGTATCTCTGAGAAATAAGATTTTAGAGATCTTGAAAATTTAGCTTCAACATCACCTTATTTACAATAATTTCAGATATCTTGCTTGTTATTTGATTATTTATCAAGTTGAAATCAAATGTAATATACATAACATTACACAACCTTAATAACTACACTATGATATGAGAACTTGATAAAACGGGAAGAGCTAATATCGACACTTCAATTGACCAGAAGAAGCCAGAAAAGGAGATCTTGAAACCCCACCTCACACTTTAAGTAAGAATAGATGGACTTAGTGAAACATAATGCGATGTATATTTGCTACTTTTGAATCTACAAAATGTAAAGATAACGGCGTTGTGTGATGTGATTGGCAAGAGAATAATGATTTAATGAGTTGCATTACCATGACGCGGTGGAACTTAAACTTGGTATGATTGGGGGAGATGGCCAGATTATTAACGGTAATAACAACAAATTTACGGATCATATATGTAAGGTACAGGTGTAATATTTTCATCTTCGGGGCTTTCATTTCAGTGTACTATGAGTAAGATTGCTGATCGAGTCAACATTTGACCGTTGGAATTGTACAATCTATAAAATGTATATTCTCAATGTTACCTCATTTTGGCAAAAAAAGATTTATAAAAATAGGTGCTGCGGATGTATTCTGTTTTAATTTGGTTTATGTTCGGTAATCGGCGGGATATTATAGTTTACTTAAGATTACTTTACAATCCTTCAGACATCTCCCGTTGGCCATTTAATGAATTGAAATTAAATACGGCGGACATAATTATGGTTGACGTTTCCACCAAAATTATGTAACCGAAGGTACCACTAAAAGTGCCTAAAAGATAAACACCATTAAATACCTGGGGGTTATATTTCCAGATATACAGACTACCATCCAGAGCACCAGTGGCGAGATACAGCCCGTTATTTGACCACGTGCAATGATGTACTTCGTCACAGTGCTCTAATATCTGCTTGGTTTCTGTAGGGAACGAATCTCTGAAATATTACAAGTTTTATCATGGTGATGGATGGTGTTGCTATGGACTATGGAGACGATGTTACCATAGTGACGGTTTCATCGAGGTGATATACAAGTAGAATAAAACTAAAAATGAAATTTAAAAAAGCAAAATAACAAGATTAGTAACCAAATGAACCAATTACCTGGTACAGTTGTGATCCTCAAGTAAAGTGGAAATGCTGAGGTGAGGAACGAAATCACTGTTGTGATACACACAGTTCTTAGCTTGCAGTAACAGAGCCTGTTTCAGCAACACTTCGAGTCGTTTAGGGGGTAACATCACGGACGAGGGCAGGAACTCTGGAATAAGGATTATATTGTTGTATTATATTATTATATTATATATAATATAAATGTATAATAATTGCATTGATTATACTCGTAAATATCCCTAGGCCTAGTGTACGTATTTCACTTCTAAAAGCACACTAGCGAACATTATACAAGAAAAACTGTTTTAACTTTAAAAACCGTACCTTGTATTTTGTGGATGAGGCGCTGTCTGCTGGCGCCGTTAGCACCAGTCCACTTGGCTCTGGCGCGCAAATCAGCCGGTGAGCTGGTCATGAGGAAGGAGGGCAGGAGGTGGAGTTTAGAGGGACAGTGTTGTAGGGGTGTTATCTCTTCCTGGAGACATAGCAGTGCTTTCATCCGCTCTCCTGGTCAAATGTGTGTCAGGGTTTTGTGATTATCTGGGTACACGTTAGTCATTTCATATTATTATGGTAAATAATATTATGGTACATATTATTATGGTACATAATATTATGGTTCATATTATTATGGTACATATTATTATGGCACATATTATTATGGTATGTATATGGTTTGGTTGAAATTCGAGTCAACCAAGGTTAAATTACAAAGAGAATTAAGTATTCAACGTCTTCAGTTCTTCACTCTTCAATTTCGAGATTAAAATTGGTACTGATTACATGATTAAAGCTGATTGCGGTTTTTACAAATAATTTTAAACCACTAACACTTATGATGGCATCGATTTTGTTGGCAAGATTAACATCTTAAATACTAGTAAACGGTGCCAATGATTGCTGAAAATGGCACAGACGATATCACCTGTTGCAAAATTAGAGTACCACTAATAGCATAACGACCTTTATAGGGGTTGACATGTCCGCCAATATCCTGTCCTTTTTAGATTGTATGAGCGTACATAGGCGGACCTGCCACCCCCCCCCCCCCCCTCTATGATTAGTGGCGCCTTCAGATGGCGGTATCACGTATCTATTACCGCTGTTTTAAAACTCATATGGCTGCATCATCAGAAAATGCTGTATGTACAGTAATTATTGAACTCTCAGTCTCTCTTGTAAAAGTGGTAAAACTTAAAATTGAGCATACAGTCCTGTACATGCGAGAGTATGATGACAGTTACGCGAGTGTGCGGAGTGTATGTTAAAGTTACACGTGACAAGTTACACGTGACAAGTTACACGTGACAAAGTTACACGTGACAAAGTTACACGTGACAAGTTACACGTGACACACAGTGTATCTGAGTAGGAAAATCAGTGGTTCATTGTCTGTGTAGTGTAGTATATCAGTATAACACAGGTTCACTTTAATATTCTGCAGCTTTTATAACAAGCTAGTTAATAAGAACCAGGATATTTTTATTAACTTTTTAAACAATACCTCTAACTCTAATTATTAAACTCTAACTAGACACTAGACCGTGGACTAGACTACTCTAGATTCTAACTGGACTCGAATTAGATTCTAAATAAACTCTTATCAAACTCTAACTAGACGCTAACTAAACCAACTACTATATTCTAACTAATATACTTTAATACACTCTAACTAGACTCTAACTACCAGACCTGCTAAACTCCAGGGAACGGATGGTCTCGCAAATTTGTGCAACTACTGTATCAAGTTGAGGTTAGTCTTCAATCCTTCTAATTTGTTAAGAAACAGAATGTACGGGTATTTATTGATGGGCTTGATCTTTCTGGAAAGTTCCGCAATCTTATAAGTGATAAAATAGAGGTGAACTCACACTGATCCTCGCAACTTATTACTACTATACAAATACAATACCCACCAGTGTTTAAATGCAGTGCATGGTGCCTTATCCTGATGGTGCATGAAATGACGTGTTTATCCTCATCACGTCCTATTATTGTAAAACAACCTTATAAAACAGTCTTATTATAACTCTATGTGTATCTGTGCATCTGTACTCTTTATATCTTCACTCTTTATAACTTGAGTTTATTTTGCCATTAGACAGCGTGGGTACTACAGTTTTTAGCAAAAATAATGTGTAGCGGGCATCATGTAACTTCTAAAATAATAAATAAAACAGGAAATTAATATTAACAAAACTAAAGCAAACCTTCTTCAAGGAGCTCAAGATATTTCTGTTCTAGAATCTTGTATTTCATTTCGACAACTCCAGTATCACTAGCTCCACACAGTTCACTGAACACCGTCATTGCCTGCAGTTACAATACATTTTAGTAAGTATAAATATATGAAATACGCGCACAGACACGTGCAAATACGTACATAAATACGTTTGGGTGCATATATAAATATGTTTGATGATGATCATGTAGACATTTGACTCCACTAGTTTCGGTTTTTTACAAACATCCACAATTACAAGGGAGTGTCACCTCAATAAATGTAATAGATTTGAAGTGTTCTAATGAATTTAAAACACTTCAAATCTATTACATTTATTGAGGTGATACTCCCTTGTAATTGTGGATGGCCGTAAAAAGCCGAAACTAGTAGAGCCTCAAGCGGGTCACCTAGAGATACGTCGTTTTCATGTTTACATGATTACCATCCATCTTAAGATTCTACACTGGATTATCTTAAGGCGACTGCGGCTGAATACCATCATTACTGATTGTTGATTTCATTTCAAACGTCGGCTAACACTCATCATAAACATATTGAAATACGTTTAGTATAGAAACATGTAAGTACAATATAATCAGAAAGCTTACATGTACTTATGAATAAGCATATATATAAATATAATAAGTAACTTTAAGAAATTACATGTGTGCCTTAGACTGCACAACACAAAGAGTACAATCAGCAAAAGCAATCAATCCGCAGGATGTCATTTAGTCACATGATGTCCCACACACCATAATTAATTAACTTAAATAAGGAAGAAAGTAAAGATTAAAGAAATACTCACACTTTCCCACTCCCCTGTGAGTATGTTTTTACGGAGTTGAGACGCTAGGGGGTGCTCCAACATAGACCCTCCTTCTTCTACAAGCTGGTCTACCGTCTTCCTGTAATAAACCCAGTTTTATCGTCAATTATTATTAATCAACTAATTAATTAATTATTTTTTAAATTACACATGTGTTTTATAAAAGTGACTGTAATGTAGGGGAGATGGTGTAGATTTGTGTTGTCAAGAGGCAGTGCTTCTTGGACGATACTGCGAGCTGATACGTTTATATCTTATAGACATTAGACATATATGGTGGGGCCGCGGAGGGCCAGGGGGGTCAGTACCATCCATTGCAATTGGTAAAAAATTAACGACTCAGTCTACAAACTAATTAAAATTCTAGACCGAATACAATGAATGAAAACCACACCGTAAATTACCTGACATCCAGCACCAACGCCCATAACAACCGAAATAATCTAACAAAACAAGACTTAAAAAGAGAAGATAAAATAAAGAGCAAAAGAACAACCGCACTCATGAACAGCTCCTTTTATTGCCGGGAGCTGAGTGCTTGTATTTTGCAGGAGGAAACGAATGTATAGTGGTAGTTAGTTCTGTAATACTGCGTTGTAGCGTGTACATTTGGTAGTGTACAGTGTACACGCTACTTACAAGCGAACTAGGTAGTAATTAATGTTTGGTTGGGTAAGATTTGGACCTGCTAACTATCATCATTGGTGTGTTTGTTTGGCTAGAAGTTGGAGTAAGTTAGTTGTGGTGTGTACCACATCATTGGTGTGTTTGTTTGGTTAGAAGTTGGAGTAAGTTAGTTGTGGTGTGTGCCACATCCGGGATTGGTGGGGCTAATTCTGTGATTGGTGTACACATTTAACTTAACATCATTAGATAACGTGTATAATGTAACAAGGTATAAGGCAGCCTATGTATAGATTATATTATAGTATAGAGTGTAAGGTAATACACCTTAATAAGGTTTCAATTTAATACGTATCCTACCATTTCATCTTGCCTTACAGCGAAGTTTTCAACACTATAAGCTACAAGACTATCATGTGCCTCCCACATTTCTCTTACTCACTAACGGTAATTTAAGTTGGACATGTGCCAAGTTTTAAGAGAGCGTACAACATAACACTAAACTAACTTTTTACTATCCAGAGTATACCAAAGCATTGTAAATTATAGCGTAGATCAATGACAAGTTCTTTGTGAAGCAACAATAGAGGTAGAGGCCCGGTTTTTAGGTTTTAATGAGTCAAAATGGGAGAAATTCAGCGTGCCAACTGCCGTACATAACATCACTTATTTGGCTTGCTACCAAGCACTTCAAACGACTTCCTGACACATCGAATAAGCGCAGTTATTGCATTGTCTAGCGTCTACATCACTAGAGTGATGTGGTGTGTGCATCGTGTGGCTACACGTACGGAGCGTGGTTGTACGTTTTAGGGGCGTGGTTGCACGTACGATGTGTGAATTGTGAGGGGTTTTTACAATAGATTGAGTATCTCAATCAACCAATAATTTTAGGAAAACAAAGTATAGTCTCCACACATTAGTGTCTACATAATATAAGTCTAAATTATATAAATCAAGGTTCACTGAACATCTTAACGTAAATATATCTAGTTTTAATTTAATATTATTTGTTATTTCTTTTAAAATAGCTGCTAAGGATTAGCAGCTATTTGTGGGTTCTTAAAGTTTCACAGCAGCACAATGTAGAATATAGACCTAGCGACTAGAGAGCAGGTACATAACGGCTACAATTGTCACAATACAAATACAAAGATGATCTCACCTTGTGCTTTACTCTACTGAATTTTAGTGATTTTCTGGCTTCTGGCTTCGCAAAACGTTCGTGATTTAACATCTCACACACAGAGTTTATGGAGTAACTTTAACAACTTAAGTACCAAAATGGTATGGGTTATTGATTGTCTAGGGGACAGGCTAGATAACGATCATGGGGTGAATTACGAACTACACATTCGTTATACATTGTACACGAGTCGGTGTAGTGGAGATTACAAAGTACAATCAGCAGTTATCTGACAGTTAAAAGTAAACCGAGAATTGTAGCTGCCACATTTTACATAGTACGATATTCATATAATATATAGATGTCATTTCTAGGTTATTAAGTAATGAGATGTCAATTATTTGTGACTGTTTACAGGCCAGAAGGTTAATGATATCGGGGATGATGAGTGACCGGTTTTTGAGAGTGACCAGTGACTGTACATTATGTTTTCTAGAGTTAAGCTTTACGTTATTTCATCCTGTAAGTTCAGGGGGATACAAAATATAGGTAGTAATATCTCGGAATCAATACTGAACTACCATGCTTCTACAGTCTTGCATAAAAGATTAAAAGTCTCGAAATAAAGCTGGAATTAGTGAGAGCAAATATAAGAAGAAAGTTCCAAAAAATACACGAAAGTTAGTATGCAAAGAATGATTTAAGAACCTTTAAAATTAGCTAATCATGGATACTAACCCAAAGGAATTGTGGTTTCTCTAAAATCATAAGGAGGTTGTGAAGGGTCATAAATATGATAATACACTGATAATTTCAAGGATATTGACGAATTAAAGATATTGATGACAAGTTTATGTTATTAAATTTGCATATTAAGAAGTAAAATATGGTAGTGGGATTGTTAAATGTATATCTCCATTACAATGTTATCTAACGGAACACTTACTGTAGTCCCAGTTCTAGAAGGTGCTGGCCGATGAGTCTGACAGTATCTTTCTGATGAGGGGGGATGAAAACTCGACCCAAGTGACTACTGACTCCATTTGAATCGTGCCCGTTTAAATTTACAACTTTACTACTCAAATTATTGTTTTGTAAATGATCAGCGTTGTCGACTTCGTCCGCTGTTGACCCATTTGTTTCTGCTTTGGAGCTATCGGAATTTCCATTGGTGTGCATGTCACTAGACAGTCGGGCACGTTTTGCAGGGGGAGGTGGTGAACCTTCTTCCCCTGCCTGATTTTGAGAGTCCAGACCTACTACAGATAACGCCCGTGGGATCCCTTGCAAACCTGATGTGGCTTGCTGGGAATTAGAGGACCCACGAAGACAAGTACAAACACTGACAGCGCGGTATCACAGCTCCAAAGTTGAAGAGAACAATCAGACTACTTGAGAAGGTGCTGGTGCTATATGACATCCATTACTGTTGTGATCCGTGGTTTAGTTTCCCAAAACGCTGCAGAAGTTGAAGAGGTTAAACTCGTATAACGAAAACTTGAACGAAATATTCAAATGCTCCTTAATGTCACCTTGATTTGCAAAGTTATTACGAACGACTCAAAGACAGCGCGCGGCGCATGGATATGAAATATTCGTTTGCTATTATATTATTATTATGATAAATTATAAAGATAATTTGATATTCAAATGATTTCAAGCTTATGTCATAAATAACCAATCATAAATAAAAAAGGTTGGAATATTTTAACAATAAAACAACATTGAAAAGTCAAATGTATAAAATTAATTTGCAAAAATATTAATTTTAAAATTTTTGCAGGTACAAAAAGTTTATTATATTTTAAAACCATTTAATAAAAATCATGGTTAAATCATAGCTTTTAAAATTTAATGACAGCACAATAATCTTTTAAGGTCATAATAATGTTTGCAAAAACGTCACGGTGCTAACACGCGCGCTCGTTATTTCGCGATAACAAGTAAAATACAATTTCTTTAAGTAAAATACAATTTTTATTTTCCACAGAAGAATCAATACATATTGAATTATTAATATCCGATAATTCCATTAATAATCATTAAAAGTTGCTTTGTCATTTGATTCACGATGTCAATCCTTCGCATCTCGCCGATCTGCATACGGTTGCGAGAAGCATTATTGGATGAAGCATTATTGGATGCGCGCGCGCGACCCAGTAGTGCATCGCGCTACAACTTTGTCATTTGTAAAATCAAAAACGAAACGCCGTACGCTGAACTGTGAACGCAACAAGTGCTTTACAATTAGTTTAATGAAAATCGAGCGCTATCAGCTATTCATTTTACCGCATCAATAAGAGCATCAATTATAAATTTGATTTTATCAGTCATTTCGTTTTGGTATCATTATATTCCAAGGCTTTTATTTTTGCTTTACTCTCTCCTCATTGCATGTTTGAATAGTCTCAGAAAAGGAACATTTAAGAGATCAGAGATACAACAAACATATCTTTGACAACACTTTCGTTTGCAGTTTGATTTCAACAAATATACACCATTGGTTTGATTTCTTTGATTCAGCGAACTTATCGCCTGAAAAATGTGAGAAGTCTCTTACAACCTCATCCCTGCCCCTATGATGGAGTAGATGTGTATATATTTGGTTGTTGATATTTCATATTATATTGGTAGCAGTGGAATATTTCCGTTACCTGTGTACTGTGCTCTGCCAATCGCATCACTTGATTTAATTGAATGTTTATATATTGTTTGAATGACCTTTCAAAGTAATGATACATAAGATCATCAAATATACTTATTGCCTGAACCAATTAATTGAATTATTATCACTGTATGATATCACTCTAAATTTAGATATAAATTTTGATTTGAAAATTCTGATATATTGAGTCACCAATAACCCTTTCCTGTGTGCTCGGCCAATAACATCTTTTCCATGTTTATCATTTTATTGTCCTTCCTTACAAAGAAATTGAACCATTTGAAATTAAATGATACATATCATTTTGTTGGGAATGATTAAGTCGAATTTTACCGAATCGCAGTCTTCTCGGTGTTCACTCAGATACGTATCGTGGCAAGTTAAACCAGACTAGATTTTGAAAAATTGTTGTTATGACACTATTTACTTTGAGCCACCGTTTTGCGTGCAACTTTGACAGATGGATTTATTTGGGTTGACACAGTTAAAAAATTGTAATAAGCCGATCTCTCAGAGCCATGAAAATAACCAATCACGGCAACTTGGATCACTCCTGTTGCAACTTGGTGAAGTTGAACAATGTCCACATTATGCTGGACTGTGCAGCTAACGTTGCCTCCCTGACACCATACCTTCCCTTCTCTGCCTTACAGACCCCCAGACTCGAGCAGCTACCTTCCCATCCTGACTTGCCAAGCATTTTAAAGAAAACCCCTGGTGGCATGGTGTTAGTAAACTCAGCTCTACACCTGGTGCCTCCTGATCAAATAGATGTCACACTAGTTGATGCTATTCTTATAACAAATAACTCTCAAATGAGCGCACTGCCCTACATCATGACTGATCCTGAGTTTCACGGCAGAGTTTATGCCACAGAACCTTGTGTCCTGATGGGCAGATTAGCTCTCATCGCTTTGTGTAAATACATAGAACAGTGTCCGACCAGACGCTCAGAAGTAGACATGAACAGTATACCTAGTCATGTGCATCCCATCTTTAAACAGAAAGATCAGATTAGACAGGTTTACAATAGGGATGTTATTGACTCTTGTTTTGCAAAGATCACCCCTGTGCGGTACAATGAGCAGGTGGATCTGTTTGGTTTGGTGGATTGTGTGCCACTCCCTGCCGGTAGCTCTATAGGCAGTGCTAATTGGATCATCAAGGCTGGAGACTACAAGATATCTTACGTCTCATCGTCCAGTAAACTGACAAACCACACTCTCCCCATGGAGGTGATGTCTCTTGCTAATCCTGATGTTTTACTGTTATCCAACTTATCACTGAATCCCATGTACTTCCCTGACAGTACCCTAAGTGAGGTGTGCAATGTGGTTATATCGACTGTAAAATCAGGTGGTAATGTTTTGATACCCTGCCATAGTACAGGTGTTATTCTGGATCTTATCGAGTGGTTGATACAAAATCTCAACAAAAACCTTCTATCAGACGTTCCCATTATTATCGTATCACCTGTTGCAGATGCAGCGCTTGCTCATCCTGATATTTATGGAGAGTGGCTGAATGATGCCAAACAAGCAAAACTTTACATACCAGAACTGCCATTCCAGCACTCACAGTTGATAAAATCAAAGAGAATTCACCACTTCAGTAATGTAGCTGATGGGATGAGAGAGGTATACAAGACACCCTGTATTGTATTTGCAGGACACCCTTCACTACGATGTGGGGACGCTGTGCTTCTACTGGAAAAGTGGAGGGACGATGCACACAATGCTGTGATACTGATAGAACCTGAATTTTCATTTGCAACCACTCTCGCTCCCTTTCTTCCCATGACAATGAAGAGCTACTTCTGTCCCATTGATCCAAGTATAAACTATTCACAAGCCAGCAAACTGATCAAGGACATCAGACCAAAGACAGTTGTCACATCACCCACCTACTTCAGAGCCCCAGTTTCTAACCCAAACAGAACAGACCTTGTGTTAGTCAGTGATGTGCCTGTAGTCGAGCTAGGAGTCGGAGAAACAGCCAACCTACAACAACCTCAAACCTCCATCAACGTGGAGCTCTCGTTAGAGCAGCTAGATCAGTTGAACATGCAACCTTTGAAGACCACCGAGGGTTACCAGTTGGTTTCTCACATCTCAGGGGTTCTGAAAGCACGAGATAACAAGCCCTCCCTGGGACCCCCTAACACTAGCAGTCAGGGTAATGTAATGTATGGGGAGGTGGAGTTACAGGAACTGATATCAGTTCTTACATCGAAAGGGTTGACACCCAACAAAGTTGAAACACTTGGAGCAGGCGACCATTTCCTTATCTCTTTATCAGATCATAACTCAACTATAACCCTGTCTCCTAATGTAACTTCTATCACAGCTCATTCAGGAAAAATGAGGCATACTTTACAGGGAATTGTCAGCTCTTTGCTTGTTTCTTTGTGAAATGTTTTTAATGTTTTAGCGGGTTAATTTCTATTTTTTTATCCCCTCACACAAATTATTTGGTTGACTGATCATATTTTCCCAGCAACTTTATAATTGTTTCAATTAACTTCTTCAAATTTGAGATCAGTATGGTATGATTGTATGCATCAAATTCACCACAAAAGTTGTACATTATTTTATAGGAAGACTCCATTGTCAGGATTCAATTTAATTTAACCAATCTCCAATAGTATAGTATTAGATCACCTTTGATTAAACAAACGACCAAACAAACGTTTGCAAAAGTGTACCTTCTTCTGACATTCCTCTCCTCTCAGCAGGTATGATGAGATGATCTTATTTCTCCTAACTCTCGTCAACTTCGTCTCCTCTCATGTCCTCAACACGCTGCTGAAATCCTACACAACTCTACACAAGGACGAGCTAGATATCAGATACTATCCCAACAATGTTATCTTACTGACACTCCAAGTAGAGAACATAACCTATACCTCAACCTTGAGTCCGCACTCCAGGATATTTCATAAACACTTTAAAACAGTCCTGTTAGGTTCAAATTCCTCGTCGGCGCTGAGGAACGCGCAACACGGACATTACATTGGTCAGATAGACGGGGTCAGGGATTCCAGAGTAGTGGTACATGTGACAAGTGATGGCTTGATTACGGGCAACATTGAGCTGCACAGTGAGCTGTATTACATAGAGCCTTCCTGGAGACATATTTCAGAGCCGCACGATTTTCACATGATCATGTACAGGAAATCAGATGTTTTGTATAAGATAGGCCACAATGAGACTGGCAAGTTCTGTGCACATGATTCACATCAACATGACGATAATAAACCCTCCTTATTAGTCCCAACAAACAGAACGTTTGCGGAGTCAGGATTTCAGTACGGCTCACGTTTCAAGCGAGCCAGCAAATCTATAATCAAACCTAGAAACACTTGCGAGGTCGTCCTAATCGCAGACTACAAATTCTTCTCAACAATCGGGGGCTCCAACGAACAACAAACCAAAACATACCTCATAGCCATCTTCGAGCGGATAAATCAAGTCTTCCGAACATCCCAGTTCGAAACGTCAGACCGGCAGTTCTCAGGGTTTGGCATGCAGATAAGAACAGTAGTGATACACACCTCATCCAGTTCTGACAAGTCAGATTACAATTATTTTAAGAGCAACTGGGATGTGTCTGATATGTTGGACTCTTTTGGGTACGGAACTCAGGGTTTGAGTGAGACTTGGTCTGATTACTGTCTTGCTCACCTCTATACTAACTACGACTTTAAAGCGGGGGTTTTGGGGCTTGCTTACGTGGCTAGTCCTGTTAGGTGAGTTTATCTTATTAATTAACTAACTAGCTTATTACATGATATAATAATTATTGATTAGCTGAGTACTGTGATGGATTTGTTTTCTGCAAAATTTCCCAACAATTTTAGTTTCTAGAAATACATTATTTTGATAATTCCCCCGAGGATTGCACGTGCCATTAGGAAATAACCGTTAGTTTCACATAAATTACCTCGTTAATCAATAAAGACAACATTACAATTGTAATTATACAAATATTAATTATCACTCTAACATGACGTTCAACATTTGACCACTGCAACACCCCCCTCAGTAACAAAGTAGGAGGAATATGCTCAGTCCCCTACCTGAGTGGAAACACAAACAAGAGGAGAATGTTGAACATTGGACTCAGCACTTCTGTTAACTATGACAGGACTCTTCTCTCCAGTGAACTGGAGCTTGTTAGTGGTGAGACTCATTTTTTTCTCGTTTATTCTTTTTGTTTCGGAGCTACTTATACTGTAGACATTGACTTAGAAGACCGAAGGGGGATACATTTTTAAATTTTTGCAAATTTTAGCGTTCTAGCTAACTAAAACAAAGTTTATTTGTCCTGGTTTCATGTATATCTGATAAAATCTGGCTAATATTAAAAACTTTCTCATACAAGATGATGATGTGTACAGTTAAAAGATATCTATTTTTACCAACTGCAACACTAAAGAGAGTAACCCTCCCCCCACTCAGCACACGAGATAGGTCACAACTGGGGCAGCTCCCACGACCCGGATAACGCGGATATCTGTGCTCCCCCTGGCAACCACTTCCTCATGTACCCCTCCGCTGTGGACGGTACGTTGTGGTCTCGTCACTTTGCTTCAGCATCTCACGTTGTAGTCAAACCCCGGGTAATATTGCTACTGTAGGCTTATCACGTGATACAGGCGTATATCACGTGACAATCTATTAGTCGTGTCAATTTTAACTGCGTTAAAGCCTGAGAGATTGCAATTTAGGCTCTAAAAAGAATAAACGAGCGCATTCCTAAGATAACAGGAGAAAACACATCACACTGCAATCTGCATACCTGAACGTGATAAGTAGATAAGTTAGATATCGGGGTTTGACTAAAGTATACTTATACAATATATAACTTTATCTCTCGTCAAGCAGTATCTTTAATGTTCATTGTTAATGTTCCACTTTTATATATATGTTCACTGTCAATGTCGTCTAAAAACTTTCAGCCCCCTCTTTTTTATAACTATAGCAAAACCAGTGAAACCTTTCTATCCAATTCGGCAATTCCGTGAATCCAAGTGAAATGTACAGAGTAGCTCAGAATAAACTACGTATGTCAGATCTTGAGAAGTGCAGATAATTGTGGCCCACCCTGCACTGATAATCAGTGTTAAATTCACATAGTCAGCATTACAATTGTCTATATTGTACCTTACCAGGCAGTGATAAAGGCGGTGAGTCACCAAGAGAAACGTCTTCTCTTTCTTCCTCTTGTAACTCTTCTTAGATTGTCTTTTAGTGGAGCAGCCTTAGTTAGGGGGGAGGGGTGCAGCGACTTGTTTACTTTCTATGTTCTATTTTTCTGCAAACAGTTGTGTTTTTAACTCTGTCCAGAAATGATACCAAAAGCACTGTATATGTTGTTGTGTTAGCGCACACACACACAATTGAAGCATTACATAGCAGGGCTATATTCTCTATATTATGTATATGGTTGTGTTCGACTGCTGGGTGTATTGTGCATCTTTTCTTCAGTCCCCTTGTTGAGATTTAGCATTTTAAGTTGGGTGATATCTTGTGATGAAACAGTGTGTCGGGTGAAATGAAAGCTGTAGAACATTTTTGTGTTATCACTTTTTCAGATTTCTCCCTCTTAAAACCAGGAATTATGATACTCCAGATTACTAAGCATTTAACAAGATGGTGTAATTTCAGGATCTCGTTCCAACAATAAGATGTTTAGTCCGTGTAGTCGGACAGCCATAGCTTCAGTCCTTAAATACAAGTCAAGTTGTTTCCTGGAACGTTCCACTTCCTTCTGTGGAAACGGTATAATTGAGGGTGAGTACACTTTTTATAATAACCTTTTTATAGGATAAGCGTTTTCTGTAATACATCATAATGTATTTCATAATATATATATAGATTCATAATATTGTATCGCGAGGGGAAATAAGGCGCAATGTGTATATGTCCTCTAAGACTAAACGATTCTATCTAAACTTATTACTCAACTAATCACTCAGTTACCCCTACAATTAGGAATTAATTAACCAGCTAATTAGTTTAATTACCTCCACTTTAGAGGACGAGGAATGTGACCCAGGCCCGGATAACCGCTCAGATGCGTGCTGCACTGAGCAGTGTAACTTTACAGCCGGCTCAGTGTGCTCTGATCACAATAGTGACTGTTGTGCTGACTGCCAGTTTGCTGGTACCACCCGGGTTTGTTACTCTAACGATGGGAATACTCTGGATAGTATCAAGTGAGTTTTCGAACACAAGGAAATATTTTAAAGCGCAGTATTGTGGCTATACACTATACACTTTAATACATTTATACGTAAGATAATAATGTATCTTCAAACAAAGTACTATCACCAAGTCTTTGTAAGGTATATCATCATTAAAACTGGCCAATATAAAAGATAATGATTTCAGTGGCTGTATTGCTGAGAAGCGATGTAGTAGTAACAGTGCTGTATGTGATGTTATCACCCACAAACCCTCCAACTCGTCCTGCTTTGACGAAGGAAAGTGTGACGCAACTGGAGAATGTTTAGACTTCTGTCAAGCTAAAGGTAGGAAATTGCTCATTATTGGTGTTTACTGCCGCCTAGTTGTTGGCCGTATAATTGCTTATTGCTGAGACTGGATCTAATAAATATCTGATGGTACAATAACACGTCGTGCGGGTTTAAAAATATAACTTGGTTTCCATTAAGAGTTTAATTTTAAGTTATTTTTAATTGTAGTGGGAATGAACATATTTTAGTGCTTTTTTAGTAGTATAACTACTAACCAGAGTTTATTTGTTTACAACACGTGCGAAGCGCGCTGTGTATGATAGTACTGCTTACACGTGTTTATATGTGCTAGAGTAAGCGAGTCACTGTATTTTCACCTTACAGTAAATAAAATCTGAAATCTGATGACAGTCATATCGTCACCTCACTTTACTTTAAAGTTAGTTCTGCCTACATTTATAGGTAGACACATTCCCATTACATACATAATAACAATAAATATAAACGACGTAATCCATTAATTATTATAAAATTAAAGTAGTGTGGAGTAATGGAGTATGATCTTGTTAATTGTGGGTGTTTCGGTCACGTGTTAATCTCCACCAATCAGATAATGTTGTGGTGTTTTTCTTTACAACATGTTGAACTGTTTACTAAACATTTTATGTGATATGACAATAGCAAGGGACCCCTTAAACGCGAACGGTTTTTTTAACGCTCAGTAAACGCCCAAAGTTATAGTTAGCGCTAGGCCTAGCGTGCAACACTTCTACAGCTACAGATATTATGCAACTATATAGTGTATCTGTAGAATCTGTACAGTATCTGTCGCTACACATTACTTTACATATTATAACAAACCTCAGCTCATCACTAAACATCACGTACCAGATCTTAAGTCATCACTAATGTTACACACAGTGCAGCTCTACAAGATATTATCTGTGTGTGTGATCTACAAGATATTATCTGTGTGTGTGATCTACAAGATATTATCTGTGTGTGTGATCTACAAGATATTATCTGTGTGTGTGTGATCTACAAGATATTATCTGTATGTGTGATCTACAAGATATTATCTGTGTGTGTGATCTACAAGATATTATCTGTATGTGTGATCTACAAGATATTATCTGTATGTGTGTGATCTACAAGATATTATCTGTGTGTGTGATCTACAAGATATTATCTGTGTATGTGTGATCTACAAGATATTATCTGTGTGTGTGATCTACAAGATATTATCTGTGTGTGTGATCTACAAGATATTATCTGTATGTGTGATCTACAAGATATTATCTGTGTGTGTGATCTACATGATATTATCTGTATGTGTGATCTACAAGATATTATCTGTGTGTGTGATCTACAAGATATTATCTGTGTGTGTGATCTACAAGATATTATCTGTATGTGTGATCTACAAGATATTATCTGTATGTGTGATCTACAAGATATTATCTGTGTGTGTGATCTACAAGATATTATCTGTATGTGTGATCTACAAGATATTATCTGTATGTGTGATCTACAAGATATTATCTGTATGTGTGATCTACAAGATATTATCTGTGTGTGTGATCTACATGATATTATCTGTATGTGTGATCTACAAGATATTATCTGTGTGTATGTGTGATCTACAAGATATTATCTGTGTGTGTGATCTACTAGATATTATCTGTGTGTGTGATCTACAAGATATTATCTGTGTGTGTGATCTACAAGATATTATCTGTGTGTGTGTGATCTACAAGATATTATCTGTGTGTGTGTGTGTGATCTACAAGATACTATCTGTGTGTGTGTGATCTACAAGATATTATCTGTATGTGTGATCTACAAGATATTATCTGTATGTATGTGTGATCTACAAGATATTATCTGTGTGTGTGATCTACAAGATATTATCTGTATGTGTGATCTACAAGATATTATCTGTATGTGTGATCTACAAGATATTATCTGTATGTGTGATCTACAAGATATTATCTGTGTGTGTGATCTACAAGATATTATCTGTATGTATGTGTGATCTACAAGATATTATCTGTATGTGTGATCTACAAGATATTATCTGTGTGTATGTGTGATCTACAAGATATTATCTGTGTGTGTGATCTACATGATATTATCTGTATGTGTGATCTACAAGATATTATCTGTATGTGTGATCTACAAGATATTATCTGTGTGTGTGTGTGATCTACAAGATATTATCTGTGTGTGTGATCTACATGATATTATCTGTGTGTGTGTGATCTACAAGATATTATCTGTGTGTGTGATCTACAAGATATTATCTGTGTGTGTGATCTACAAGATATTATCTGTATGTGTGATCTACAAGATATTATCTGTATGTGTGATCTACAAGATATTATCTGTGTGTGTGATCTACAAGATATTATCTGTGTGTGTGATCTACAAGATATTATCTGTGTGTGTGATCTACAAGATATTATCTGTGTGTGTGTGATCTACAAGATATTATCTGTGTGTGTGTGATCTACAAGATGTTATCTGTGTGTGTGATCTACAAGATATTATCTGTGTGTGTGATCTACAAGATATTATCTGTGTGTGTGTGTGTGTGTGTGATCTACAAGATATTATCTGTGTGTGTGATCTACAAGATATTATCTGTGTGTGTGATCTACATGATATTATCTGTGTGTGTGTGATCTACAAGATATTATCTGTATGTGTGATCTACATGATATTATCTGTGTGTTAAGTATCATTAATCATTGTAATAATCTTGTGGCTCTAGTCTGTATATTTGTAAATTTACAGATTAAAAGCTTTTATTACTTTTTCATTTTTATTAACCGTGCGCGTGGTGTGGTAATTGAATACAAGAATAACGTTGGATTATTGAATTAGCTAAGGAGTAAACCTACCTCCTCCCCCCCCCCCCCCCCCAGCCCCCCCCCCCCCTGGCCCCAATATAACACTACATAACAGTACATGTTACAGGTGAGGAGCTGTGTAGAGGTGAAGGTAACGAGACTTGTTACTGGATGTGTGTGAACGCTGAAAACGGGACTTGCAGTAACAAGTACTCCATGCTACCCAACGGTAATAGTCGCATCTTTCTATTCTCGCTGTGGCGACTTTTATAAAAAACAAATTGTCACATTATTTGATTATTTGCTATTTACGACCGCGATTTTGCGCCATCTACCCCGGGAATCTTAAAGAGTCTACAAAAATGGTGATGACCCACAAATCACAATACATGACCTTATATTGTAACATTACCTTATACGGTCTTGTTACCATGGTAACAGTAACTATACCCCAGGTAAACCCTGTCCTAACGGTGTTTGTATAGATGGAATGTGTCTAGTAGAGCCCCAGACCCAGGTCAAGATATGGCGGGTCCTGACTGGACTGACTCCCAGTATCTTCTGGGATTGGATGAGTGAGTTTTTTTAATTGTTTCTTTACTTTGCATTGTAGAATAGTTTAGTAAATATATAATTAAGACTTGAAAACTTAATGAAACATCGAAAGCAGTAAATGTAGAGCAAATGTGAAGAAACGTCCACACATATCTAAACGGGGTTGTAATGGACGCTTATTTTTGTCTTGGTCAATCGATCGATTTGTTACTCAATTAATTATTTTCTTAATTAATTATTTTCTTAATTAATTATTTTTCTTAATTGATTATTTTCTTAATTGATTATTTTCTTAATTAATTATTTTCTTAATTAATTATTTTCTTAATTAATTATTTTCTTAATTAATTATTTTCTTAATTAATTATTTTCTTAATTAATTATTTTCTTAATTAATTATTTTCTTAATTAATTATTTTCTTAATTAATTATTTTCTTAATTAATTAATTACAGAGAGTAACGTGATCCTGGTAGTGATCCTAGTAACATCTGTGTTCTGGGTACCGTTATCTATATTCGTCAACTGGTTAGACAAGGGACAAGACGAGGTGGATTGGTACAACACCATGACACTTCAACATCAACATCAGGTTAGTCTTGTCAAAGTGGATTTATGACGTCATCATTACGTTTTATAACGTCATCATTACGTTTTATGACGTCATTATTACGTTTTAGGACGTCATTATTACGTTTGAGGACGTCATCATTACGTTTTATAACGTCATCATTACCTTTTGTGGCGTAATTTAACCTTATTATTTCCAGAGAAAGAAAGACATTCTAAGGACCCAGAAGTCGACTGTAAGTTCTAGAAGCTTTGAACTGATGACCAAGGTTAACATGGAGCCATGTCCGGACGATAACAATGTATTCACGCTCACAAACACTAAGTTCTGAATGGTTGCTGACTACTAATTTACTAACTTAGCAATGTAGCGCATATCATGTCATTACATAACTATATGTGAAAGTTTTACCGTGGTAACATTACCTTACATGGCAGCGACTAGCGGTATTACCTTATATTATATGGTAACGTTACCATGTTTGTAATGAGTTGTTTCCACAATCTGGCTCTTACGTTCAAGATATATTGATTTAACGTTAGAAATATTCTTTCAACGTTTGGAATGTTAATGTTAATATTATAGGCCACTTTTTTTTAAGCATGCGCGCCACTTTTTGATTGTTTTGTACTTGTTTTTTGAGTTTGGACTGTGTCTTTGTAAATGTGATTATCAATTTCTAATCTCTGAAGATTTGTTACTCCTTTATAATATACATATACATAAACGGTTTCACAATTAATTTGACCCTTTAGATAATTTGAGTTTCTTAATCGTGACCCTTGGCCTTTTTGTATATATTATTCGAGTCTAAGTGTTTTTAAATTGTTTTTAATCTTTGGGATTTCCAACTCTTCTGGAAAACTGGATTTTAACGAGGAATTTTTATCAATGTGTAAAAAGTTTGATTCGTTATTATAATTAATTAGTTAATTAATTATAATTAATTAGTGATTACCATGTATTCATTCATAAAAGTACTTCAGGATTCGAGTTGGGTTTGATTTAAGTTCCCCTGTGTTGTTGTTGTTGTTGTTGTTTCGTTTACTAGTCACAGTGTAGGAAATTATTATTTGTCTTAATAATAATATGACAATTATTCTTATATAACGTAATTTTTTGTTGACATTAAATTCAGTTTTAATTTCCATCGTCACATAACACCTTAGTTTCTTATGATAATAATCATTGAATTTCAAATGTTAGTGGTAAACTGACTATTATTGCTTTAAAATTGTCATCGATAATTTGCTTGCACGTCAATTCAAAACTAAAAATTCAATGGAGCAAACTTAAATGAAGAATGGATGTTTATTGACTACGGTAACCTGAAACTTAACCTCTCTGAAACTGATATTAAGCATATACTCAAATCTCCTGCTTACATTTCCTTGTGTTTGAAGTAGTAGAAATGGCAGACGCTAGACAAGTTTTAGTGGAGGATAATGAGTCCACCTCATTTGAAACAACACCCGGAGTTGAAGTGCTCAACACATTTGACGGGATGGGACTCCGACAGGATCTGATGAGGGGGATATACGCTTATGGTACGTGATTTTATAGAAATAACAACATCTTCAAACCTTGTACCTGATTTTCTAGAGAGGGAATATTCCTGGCATTTTGATACTAAAATTAACAAGCTATTGACGTAGAAATGTTGTCAGTTTCTTTGCTTCATTGGTTTCCGAGCAGATCACTCTTTCTTGTATGGCCTTGATCATGATCAAGATTTATCTTTTATTTGTTGAGAATCTCTCGTCGTTTGTAATTTTCGAAGTTATAATTAAACCTCACCTTTTCAGGATTCGAGAAGCCTAGTGCTATACAACAGCGGGCTATCAAACCTATGTGCAAAGGAAGAGACGTTATTGCGCAGTAAGTTGTTTATACCGATCTTTCCGCTTTCAGTATTTTAGTGTGGATATTTTTTTCAATTTGGTCACTTTCACCGTATCAAAATTATAATTAAAGATTATTAGAACAGGTTTTTCCCCGGAAATGTTAATTGTAATCATTACATTGTGTTTTGTTTCAAATAACCTCGCGGTTCACGCCTGCTACTAATTTAGATAGCAACTCTTTTGTGTGAGCTGAGGTCACGTGATACTGACGTCTTGATGACATCATAAGAGGTGTGATGACGTCATAAGAGTGTGATGACGTCACAAACACACAACTCTGTTCAGGGCACAGTCTGGTACTGGTAAGACTGCAACGTTCTCCATTGCGGCGTTGCAGTCTGTTGACATACAGGTTCGTTATCCCTTTATTATGGTAGTGTTACCATGGTAACATGCACTTGTGCGATTGTGTTACCATGGTAACATGCCAAATAACGGAGTAGTTCGCTGTTTATTAGTCTCATAATTGAAATACTGATATCTGGATATTATCCGGTTGGAAGAGACAAGGACAAGTGAAACAAGGAAGTTAGGAGTAAGGGCAAATTTTCGGCGTCAACGCCATCTTCAGGCTCAAATTATTTGTTATATAGTAGTGTTGAAAGTATTAAAGCTTTAAAGTATTAATACTTTCAACACTACTATATAACAAATAATTTGAGCCTGAAGATGGCGTTGACGCCGAAAATTTGCCCTTACTCCTAACTTCCTTGTTTCACTTGTCCTTGTCTCTTCCAACCGGATAATATCCAGATATCAGTATGGTAACATGCCCTTGTGTGATTGTGTTACCATGGTAACATGCCCTTGTGTGATTGTGTTACCATGGTAACATTTTCTTCTATAGAATTTTTACCTCACCTTATCCTGACTCACATATTTAAGTTATCAAAATGTGAATTGAATTCCAAATCTTTCCATAGTTTTCCTCTATCTGTACAGCATACTGATAATACCAACATTGTCATGTGATCTACCACAGTATTCTAACCCCCGTCATGTGATCTCCCACAGTATTCTAACCCCCGTCATGTGATCTCCCACAGTATTCTAACCCCCGTCATGTGCTCTCCCACAGTATTCTAACCCCCGTCATGTGATCTCCCACAGTATTCTAACCCCCGTCATGTGCTCTCCCACAGTATTCTAACCCCCGTCATGTGATCTCCCACAGTATTGTAACCCCTGTCATGTGATCTCCCACAGTATTGTAACCCCGTCATGTGATCTCCCACAGTATTCTAACCCCGTTATGTGATCTCCCACAGTATTCTAACCCCCGTCTATATATTTCAGCTGAGAGAACCCCAAGTTATAGTCCTCTCCCCTACAAGAGAACTTGCTACACAAATACAAAAGGTACGCATAATTTTAACATGACTGTCAACTTCATTCCCCGAATTCTATTTAATTAAGGCCTTTCTTACACAACATTTTCTTAAGATGTTTCTGCTTGTATAATTAAATATGCAAGTTGTAAATTGTAAAATAATGCCAAATGAGCAGATAAATTCGAATATTAACTTAAATTGAAATTTGCCTCAAAACAGTTTGCAGTTTACCCTGGCACTAGCCAATAATGAATTAACCGGATAAAATAACTGACCATCAATGTATTTATTGTATAACTGTACCTGTCACCTGTAACAGGTGATGCTGTCTCTGGGTGATTACATGAGTGTCCAGTGTCACGCCTGTATTGGTGGCACCTCTATTGGGGAGGATATCAGGAAGTTGGACTACGGGCAACATATTGTCAGTGGGACTCCTGGCAGAGTTTTCGGTGAGACATTGTTTCATTGCTCATTGGTGAATCTAGTGATGATAATTTTAAGTGATCAACCACATAATTTGATAAAATTAAATCATTAATGATAGGTATTTTAAAGACTTAGAGCGCAGTTGATTTTTATTATATGATTAACAACCCCACAGACATGATAAAGAGACGTAACCTGCGAACCAGAAGTGTGAAGATGTTCATATTGGACGAGTCTGACGAAATGCTCAACAAAGGATTCAAAGAACAGATTTATGATGTCTACAGGTTTGTTTCACGTTACAAAATGGGTTCAACATAGGTGAACTATCAATATCAAAAACTGAAAAATTGTTCGATCTGAAAACATGGTAAGTTTTGATTCGTACAATGCTCCAAACTTGAAGAAAGTTCTTCACCATTCTGACCAATTCGTGATAGTTTTGCGAAGTCAACTTCAAAATAACAAAACTGTTATCTTATGTGCAGGTATCTACCCCCCTCCTCCCAAGTCCTCCTGGTATCAGCTACTCTCCCGCACGATGTTCTGGAACTTACCAACAAGTTCATGACAGATCCTGTACGAGTCCTTGTAAAACGGTACGCAAAATTAAAAATCACATGTTTCAAAAAAATTTAATTTTGTCAAACAGTACAACAATTTTTGTCTGGTTTATCCCTTTTCGAACAATTTTTAATTGAACATCAGTTAGTTGGGTAGTTTTGTCTATGTAAGGTATTAAATAATCGGTAAGCCTCCCATTTCTACAGTGATGAGTTGACTCTGGAGGGAATAAAACAGTTCTTCGTTGCTGTGGAGAGAGAGGAGTGGAAGTTTGATACTCTCTGTGATTTGTACGATACCCTCACCATAACCCAGGCTGTCATATTTTGCAACACCAAACGGAAGGTAAGCAGTGTCATTACTTCTGTTATTACAGCGTTGTTATACTCGTTTTCCAAAGTTTATTTGGAACAATCCCCCTGATCAGTAGTGTTAGAAATACTTGTGGCTGGTGGCATTTAATTAATCCAAACTATTTAACAGGTAGACTGGTTAACTGATAAAATGAGAGAAAGCAACTTTACTGTGTCCTCAATGCATGGTGACATGCCCCAACAAGAGCGTAATGCTATCATGGAAGAATTCAGAACAGCTAAGAGGTAAACATCCCAAAAAATTCCGCCAATTTTACTCTGTGCGCGTAGCGCGCGGATTATTTTCAGTTATTAAAAGCACGCTATCCCCAACATTTTGGCCGCCATTTCACGCGCGTTAATATTTATGTTTTGTAGATTTAACAACTTTTAAACTTCAGCCGTGTTCTGATTTCTACTGATGTGTGGGCTCGTGGTATTGATGTTCAGAACGTATCTCTTGTCATCAACTACGATCTTCCCCCAAATCGTGAACTCTACATCCACCGGTGAGTAGTGTTCGATTTTACATACAGCATTTAGGAAATTTTCGGTAAACGTTCATAATTAACGATTTGCAGGGATTGCAAATCTTATTCTCGGATTCCGACAGTGCTTTTCTCACTTTTGCCACTTTTTAAAATTCGTATAAATTTTGCATCAAATCGATGTGTAAATGTAACTGTATTACAGTTTACAAAAAACCAAAATATTTACTGTGAGACAAATAATATTCGTGATACTCAACACCACCAGACTGCAGCTGGAGTGAGAAAGATGATGTAAAACATCTGTAAAATCTATTTTGGCTGAACCAAAACACTGCGGTCAAACCATAATTACATTGGTGCCGATATGGTGTCGCTATTTGAAATGTCCACAAAAAATGTTCACACATCAAAAGTAATAAAATGATAAAAAACGGATAGCTATCACTTTCTATATAACTGTTAATTAAACGTAATATTATGTGGTAAAACAACAAACCTCATGATAACAAACCCATCTCTCAGGATCGGACGATCGGGAAGGTACGGCAGGAAGGGTGTAGCTATCAACTTTGTGAAGAACGATGACGTCAGAATCCTCAGAGATATCGAGCAATATTACTCAACCCAAATTGATGAGATGCCCATGAATGGTGAGATACTGTTAATTAATTGTTGCTGTGATGCAACGTTACCATTCATAAGAACCACTAAAGTCAAAATTAACACCAGTACTGGTGTTCATTTTGACGGTTTTTTCCTTTCTTACTTAGTGGAAATTGATTAGCTGCCCCCATACCAGTTGAATGTTGGTGCCCCAAACAGTAGAAACGTTTTATAAGTGTTTTGCTAGTACTTACGATAAGTTTTTCAAAATTGTCCCACATTCCAACCACGCTTTAAGGGTATGTTAAAATTTACAATAAAACCTTGTTACTCTCAACTTCAAGATATCCCAATCTCCATGAAGATGATATCGAGATATATATTGACAATTTCATTTATGATAAATTCTATCCTCATCACAAAGCCTCATCCGTTATTAGTGCTTTGTGCAATCTCCATTACGTTTCGTCTTTATGGAGATTTTAATAACGTTTCTTTTATTTCAGTCGCTGACCTGATATAAAGAACGGCTCGCCCTTACGTCTATCAGTGAACCCATATAAGCAATAATGTCACCCCGACAGTGCTTAATATTGATACCAGTATCGTTCAGTTTTATTTAAATTTTTTTATCAAACGTAGACGCCCATATTTGCCGAGGATAAGGATTACATTTTTATTTCTTAACGCTGCTGACCTTAAGTGATATCCGTATATTTTTAAAATAGTACTGCTGTCAAATATTTTACCGTTTAATATAATTCTTTACCCAGCTGTTATACTCCTGTATTATTACTCAATTACCACGAATTACCCACTGATTTGATTACATTTCCCCTTCTACACTTGCAGCAAGTACCTCAAGTCTGCAGATTAGATCACTGTTTAGCTGTACAGTTATCGTTTCAAGTTACGAGTCTCCTCTAGTCATGTTTCGTTCTGTTCTATCTTCTCTGTTTCTCGCTCAGTTAGTAATGTCCGCCTTCCTACGAGTTGAGAACCCGGAACCTGGGCGGTGGTACGAGATGGGCTCGTTTGGAGTGGGTGGTAGGGTGGTCGTTGAGATGGAGTCTCAGCAGTCCTCTGAGCTGGAGCTAAAGCTTGGAAATAGTCAGGGAGATGTTATTTTCCACCTGGTAGCTGACAAAGTGATCACAAAGATTTCCACCTCGCTTTCTGAGGAAGAGGTGAAGACTACTTCTCTATCTGCCTCTGGTTTGAAGGAGTTAGTTGTGGAGGTGCAAAGTGAGGGGGTGTTTGTTGATCTAGTGGGGAGTGGGAGTGTGGTACTGCCCTACCCTGCTGACTCCTGGACGGGCAACAGAAACAAGGCCTGGGACACTGTGGATTACATCACCAGAGTGTACGTTGGTGGACGAGGGGTAAAGTTTATTCGTCTCGCTGCACATGTACTCGTCTTTTAACTCAAATTGGCATACCGACCCAAAATCTGTCTGCGATAATTCCTGGTGTTTTGTTTAAATTTGGACGGTCACGCACAAATAGCAAATAGGTGGACGAGAATTCGTTGTCAATGATTCACGTTGCATTTTTATTTAAAATTGATATACATTCTACAAGTGCAATTTTACTCATTATATAACAGAAATCTTACTGGGCCGCGCTCAGCCTGTCATTCCGCCTAATCTCTAATATGTTAATGAACATAATAGCCTGGGGTCCCCAGGTAACAGAAATCATGAAGTCTAGTGATTAATTATTGATTAATGAAATTGTTTCAAGAATGTCGTTTATTATTCCATTAATGAGTTAACTTTTTTTTTTTTTTAATCTACCGACCGTGGACCGACATAAATTACCTGGCCACTTTGACTGATACCAATGTTATCATTGGTTGTAGGTTTACATCCTACCAGGACGCGCGCCGAGTTGGACTCGTCGACGGTCTTGTTCCAATATATGGAACAGATACAAGATATTTTACGAGTATCACCCGTTAACATTGTGGCTAAATCGCTCGCTCAAAAATCATCGAGTGACTTTGGTTTTGACTAATGTTTTGGCAGTTAAGGTTTTACATAATATAGCATATAGGGTAACCCTATACTAACCAGAGTGATTAATCATCCTTATTTGTTATTATTATATTTGACCAAAACCCATAATTGGTTAGAGTGGACCGCTGCCAGTGTCTCTCTTTCCCAAACAAAAGTAAATGATATTAATCTGAACGACCGTCCGCACATGCTAAATGATAACGAGAATGAATGTTCAGGGCTTTTACTAATTCGCTCGCCCAAAAAATCGAGCTTACACAGTGTAATTTCCTCCAGTCTGCGCCGCGCGTCTATATAAACGTACGCGGCGCAGACTGGAGGAAATTACACTGCGTAAGCTCCAGTGTAATGTAATAATATATGTATGTACTACGGCTTAAGGGCGTGAGAGTAAATTAGTTTGGTGTGTTTTTGGACGCTGATTCCGAATCACTGGGCGGCGCTCAGCCTGTCATTCCGCCGAATCTTTATTCGTTTATTATTATGTTTATGAACATAATAGCCTGGGGGTCCCCAGGTAAATTCCGAATTACCCTTAACGGGTGATACTCATAAAATATCTGTTCCATATATGACTAAAATTAAAAATGCTTCCCTACACCCTATACTTTACCTGGGGACCATGAACATAAAGATTCGGCGGAATGACAGGCTGAGCGCCGCCCAGTTAAGTATGCAGTAACCTATACTAAGAGAGTCATGGGCAAAAAACTGTTTTAGTGATTTACTTGTCATACGTTGTACGACCCGCCACGCACGATAGTGAAACGACCGTGGGCCGTTGGGTCGCAACGTGATACAAAGGAAAACTATACGAATTTACAATTTTGCACAAAAAAGTGCGCGCGCGGCGACCATTGACCAAGCTAGCTGGAATGTTGAACGTACAATCGCCGTAACAAAGCAATTTTCAATTTTGTTTGACCATTGTTAATGATCTGGCCTTCGGCGGCGCGCGCGAAAAGTGGCATGCAACGTATGTCAAATCTGGCCCGGCACGCGCTACTTCGTAGCTCGTGCCATCGAGAAGAAAGCGGCGCGCGCTACTTCGAAGAAATTTAGACGAGTAACATCCGTCAAAATTTTGTTAGCAGTGCTTCACATGACAATGATGATAGTGACATTTTTAAATTAAAATTTCAGAAACAAAATGTATTACTAAACATATCGAAATCAAAAGAAAAATGTAAAAGAAAACAGAAACAATACAACCAAATTTATATTTAAATATTGAACCTTTTAAATAATAAAAACTCCAAAATGTTTTAACATTTAATGTTACTTTAATAACGACAAACGTTTTTATTTTTCATGACGAGCTTTTAAAACTAATAATACACTTTTTGCTACACGTTGTAACCTCTCGTGCACGCGATCCGAAGCCTGCGCGATCAAAAGGGGTTACAGCGTGTGTCAATACATTTTTACACTAAATTTTTGAAATTTGAAAAAATCGATTAATTATTATATAGAAATCAAGTATTACATTTCAGCCATGCAAAATTACAATGACATTTTTTGATACATTAATTGATTAACGGCATGGTACTGCAATATTATTCGGCTGAACCAACCCATAGCAAGAGCCACATTAACGTTGAGGCATAAATAATTACAAGTATTTTGCTCATTACAATTCTGTCACAACTGAGAACAAAAAAATAGGGGAGATAAGCGGACAGGAAATCGGATGGACAGAATTATAACCAAGAAAAAACACATTTCTGGGAATCATATGAAAAGACTGATAAGATAATCTGGCCAGACTATATCGGCAGCCCAGAGGTACTTGATCAGTTTGGCCTTAAAAATAGAAATCCGCTCTGAATGCCGGATGCATACTGGTAGACTATTCCATTTCAGCATAGATCTATGAAAGAAGCTATTATATACATTATATACATACATACTCAATATTGCACTTGTAAGATTTTAACAGGTGATACTCGTAAAATATTAGTTCCAAATATTAAGACTGTTACGTATACCAAGAGGAAAACAAATTTGTTGAAAATCGCGATAAAATAACAGATTATTTAAAATTAGTAGGACTGTGTATGTAAAGATTCAGAAGTGGAAAATCACACCAATTGTTTGAATCATAAATTGTTTTCAAATTAATACTCTCATGAGCAGTATCCAGTTAATTGCCTTTTTGTAAGCATGACTGCTGCTTATAGGCTTGTTTCCTTTATTTCACCTTCGACTGGTTCAAAAACTGTAAAAAAGTAAACTATTACTACTACATCATCTTAAAATCGGTAGTTACAAAGACATTCGTATTTAATATGTAGTTAACAAGTTGATTTGTCTATTGTTATTGGACTGACCCGGTGCAGCACTTTGCCTAGCGAAGAAGGCACATGCTACACCGAAGAAATTTAGACGAGTACCATCCATCAATAAATTGACTAATTAATAATTATATCTATGAACAATTGTTCTTGTGCCTTGGCTACCGCTGAAATACAGAAAACCCCCAATTTCATGAACATGTATCTGATATTTAATCTACATGACCAAATATTTGCCCCCAAAGTTCTGGTTCTAAGCATAGTATAGCTAAAATTTGCCCCCAAAGTTCTGGTTCTAAGCATAGTGTAGCTAAAATTATTGTAAAGTGTTAAATGAGAAGTAACCTACCAAAAGAAGGGTCAATTAACTCCTCTGCAGGTGATGGACCAGCTTCATAATATTCAAACTGTTGAGATACTTGTTCTACAAAACCCTGTAAATATTCAATAGTCCAAATTTTTTCCATGCAATTAGAGCTTCGAAAATAACACTAGTGCATAGGATTTGGGGTGGCACCCACCTTTTTATTTGAAAATTCAATTAATCATTATATATATAAATCAAGCGTTACATTTCAGCCATGCAAAATTACAATGACATATTTTGATATACTAAATGATAAATGGTACTGCAATATAAGTTGCTTAATGTTTGGCCGGATGACAACTAACGAGAAAAATAAACTTGATTATATAATAATTAATTCGGCTGAACCAACACATAGCAAGAGCCACATTAACGTTGGGGCCGTCTACCAAATTTGAATGACAAACATTAACAAGAAATCAAACATATCATAAATAATTATAAGGATTTTGTTCATTACAATTCCGTCACAACTGATAAAGAAAAAAGAAAAGGACAAGCAGATAGGAAATTGGACGGACAGAATTGTAACCAACAAAAACAAATTTCTGAGACTCATAAGACTGATGAGCTAATCTGGCCAGACTGTATCGGCAGCCCAGAGGTACTTGATCAGTTTGGCCTTAAAAGTAGAAATCCGCTCTGACTGCCGGATACATACTGGTAGACTATTCCATTTCAGCATAGATCTATGAAAAAAGCTATTTCGGAAGGCATCCGAGCAGGGCACAGTGGTACTCATGTAAGTTGATGTATCCGACATATCAATTATTTGAGCATTGTGCCTAGTGTATCGGGTGCCCTCTGGACGGCATAGGACTATATATGTAGGGAGCGAAACTGGAATTATGCTATTCACTATTTTATAGAAGGTCATAAGATCGTTATAAATAAACTTCTGTTTAACAGGGAGAATATTTAGTTTCTTTTGCTCTGTAGCAAGTTTATCGTCATTATAACTGGAGTAAGGTTCACCATTGATCCATTTAATAGCCCTCTTTTGGATAGCAACAAACTGTTGAAGATGAGTTGCAGATTGAGGGGACCATATGACAGAACAATGTTCAAATATAGACCTAATTAACGCTAAATAGAACGATCTTTTCTGCCTTTTATCAGTAGTGAAATGACATGTTCTCTTAAGTAGTCCAAGTCTAGAGGTAGCTTTGGAAACAAGCGCTTTACATTGTGCACCCCAATTAAACCTGGAGTTTATTGCGACTCCTAAATCTGACTGAGAGGGCACAAAGTCAATATCACTTCCAGAAAGTTTATAAAAGAAGGTATTGAATGGCAAGTTATCCAGCACGTTTCTTTGCAGGGACACAGAGAGGGCTTTGCACTTTTGTGGGTGGAACTTCATTCGATTTCTCACTGACCAATCATATAATCTGTTGATGTCATTTTGGATTATGTGATGGTCAGGGTAACCAAGGATCTCCCTCCAAATTTTAGTGTCATCTGCATAAAGGGCGATATTGGTGCCTTCAGAGACACAGGAGAACATGTCATTTATAAATATTACAAACAATAAAGGGCCAAGTATAGAACCTTGAGGGACACCAGACCGAACTGGTAGAGAAGAAGACGTTTGGCCTCCTATCACTACTTGTTGTTGTCGCCCCTCAAGATAGGACTTAATAAATTTAAGCATTAGTCCATCGACATTAAAAATATTCTTTAATTTACTTAAAATGAGGTCATGCGAAACGCTATCAAAGGCTTTCGCAAAATCAAAATATATTATATCAGTCCTGGACCTGTTATTCAATGCAAGTGCAAGATTGTCCGTGAAAGGTATCATTTGGGTTGTGCATGAACGTTCATTAACAAAACCGTGTTGTCGGTCATCCAACAGATCAGAACATGCAGCGTATAATGCAGTCTTTATGCACCTTTCAAAGACTTTCATTACAAGAGATGTTAACGAGATAGGCCTGTAGTTCTCAACCGAAGACTTATCGCCCTTTTTGTGCACTGGTACTACAAGTGCCAGCTTCCAATCAGGGGGTATGCATCCGCTCGAGAAAGACAGGTTAAATAAAACACTAAGTGGGTATGCAAGGCTTTGGGCACAGTTTTTGAGGACTCTCCCATGAATCCCATCAGGGCCAGGGGCCTTGTTAGGATTTAACTTTTTAAGAATCAACAGAACATCTTCTCTACTAAACACAAGACTTGAAAAACAATCATCACGAAAATCTATGTCAATGCCATAATCGCTCTCTTGAGAAAACTGCTCATAAAAATATTCGTTAAAAAGGGCAGCTTGATCAGATGGATTGTTTCGAAAGCGATTATGATATTTGACAGTTTCAGGGATCCTGGTTGACTTTGATTTAGATTTAACGTAGGTCCAGAATTTCTTGGAGATAAGAGCATCATCGGAGTCATCCTCAACACTGAGTCTCATTCTTTCGTCCATCATATTTTTAAATTTTGTGCGAAATGCACGAAACTTTTGTTTATGAGACTCAGAGTTGCTCCCCTTATGCCTTATTCTCCATTTCTCCTTATTTCGTAGGAGACGATCACATTCGGAGTCATACCATGGGGGCTGGAACTGAGACTTAATGGTCTTTTTAGGGATCCATCGGTCACAGGCTGCACCGAGAACTCCTCTGAATCGACTCCAAGCAAGATAAGGATCATTACACTCAAATATACTATCCCAATTGATGCTAAATAACTCAGAATTCAGGCCCCTAAAATTACCTTTACTATTTAAATTAAAGATCTTTCTTTTAGGCTGCTTAATATACTTGGTCTTAATATCAATGTCAAATGTGATACAAAAGTGGTCGGACATACACATTTCGTTTTGATCTAAAACTTTAACATTCTTAATAAGGTTTTGAATGTTAGTGAACACAAGATCTAAGGTGTTGCCTGACTTGTGAGTAGGGGAGCTAATAAGTTGTGTATGTCCGAGGTCATCAGTGAGAAAATTTACAAAGCTAGAATGTAGCTGGCAAGATGACTGACCATCTGGCCAGGAAATCGAAGCCAAATTAAAGTCACCTACCAGAATGTGCCTTTGCAATTTTCTGGCAGATGCTAAAGTAACAAAATGTTTCTTGAAAGATTCAAAATTATCTAAGCCAAGCGTTCCTACTCTATAAAATGTTGATATACAAAAGTTTCTTCCACACTGAGTCTTAATTATGATGGATAATAATTCAGCTTGAACACTAACTTTAGAGAACTTTAGACTCGAGATATCAATGTCTGTTCTATGGGCAATCAGAACACCACCACCGTTTTTTCTTAATTTCTTGGGCTGGGTTGCATCCACTGGATGCGATCTTAAGGATCGGTCAAGCCTAAATACTTTGTATTTGTCAGGGAGCACCTCATTACTGAGAATGGAATTTTTCAGCCATGTCTCGTTTAGAATAATGATGTGAGGCTTATGTTTGTAGATATAACCATGGAATTCATGTATCTTGGTCATATTTAGTGGTGGTGTTCCTGATGCTAAATCACGTGTATTTAGGAAACCATGGACATTATTGTAAACAACGGATAAATTTGGTCCAGGGTTCAGTAAGGAACAATTACAAATTACTATCAGGGAAATATTAAGGAGAGATAGAAAAACCAGACCACACCTAGACATGACCCCAAGCCAGCTGCTGGTTATACTGAAAAGTAACTTAACAGTCTGTTTCGGTGACATGGTAGGTGACAGTTCGGTTTTTGTGGTAGATAGCAATTTTACAGAAATTGCAGCTAAGGCTGTCCCAATGCCCCCCTCCCCCCTATACACAAGTTTAAAGTGTCTGAGAAAAATGGTACAAAATATTACCATAAAGTAAAGATTTATGGATGACCTCAAACATGGTACAGAGTGTATTTTAGGTTGTAGGGGAGCACCAGGGAGTATATTAGCATCGATAGTCAAAGAAAATATATACAAAATAACATAAAAATAAAATATACCCAATAGAGCACATAACATATGACGAGACAGAAGACAGGACAACAAATTTTCCCCGTTACCTCTATTACTTTTACTGATGATAACATACCTAGAAAACATACCAGATGCAACACGGTGTTGTTGAGCCGATATTCCCATGGAACTTTAAAGTATATTATTAACAGAATTGTGTCTCGCCGTTGTGTTTTGTTAGGTATTGTGCTATAATATGAAGTAACATACATTATGCTATCACTTCGTTTGAATACATATAAATAACATCCAAATGATCAGATCCAATAGGATACTGATGCAGACAATGAAAAATTTATTTTAATTGAAGTACCACATCAGTATCCCAATGGATTAAACCACTTTGAGTGTATGATTCTGAGATAGAACTTTGCCAACACTGGCATCCCAGCCTTGGGGCTGGGATGAATATCATAAAAGCCCCTATTGTCACATTTAGGAAATAATCTAAATGCAGTGAAAGCTGTACCAAAAGGGCTGTACCAAAGGGGCTGTGGCCGAAACGCCATTAGACAGGGAAATCGGCTCCCAGACTGCGGTCGCCCAAATTATTAATTATTATTTTCCCTGCAAACAATATCGTAATAAGATAGACTGATTCCTCAGTTTATCCCCAAATCTAACGGTAACAATACGTTGACTTGTCATCTCTCCTGAAATCTGTTGGTGATTATCCTATTCTAGCTGACGTCCTAATATCACATCTGCTCTGGGCTGACGATCTTGTCCTACTTGCCCTAAGTCCCAAGGCCTTGCAAGACAATATAAACATCCTATTCGACTTCTGTAACTCTATGGGCCTTGAAGTAAACATTAAAAAAACCAAGATTCTCATATTCTGCCCTTCTAAAAGAAAACAATCCTATGAAACATTCATTTTGGGAGGCCAGCCCATCCAGCACAACCGAAAAATACTGCTATCTTGGCAATATATTCCACAGAAATGGATCTTTTACAGCAGCCAATACTGAACTGAGGGCCAAGGCTCTCCGTGCTCTCTATGGCCTCAAAGGCAACATCGTCAAAGACGCCCTCTCTCACCGTTCTCTAAACATTCTATTTGACTCTCTAATAAAACCGATACTGCTCTATGGCTGCCAAATCTTATGTCCTCACTCAAAAACCATGAGATACCTCTCCAAAACAGATAGCAAAGCCAACCCCCAGCATACTCTCAGGTACATCTCACAAGACCACTATGAAAGATTCCACCTTAAGTTTATCAAGTGGTCCTTGTCTGTCCATTCAAAAGCATCAAATATAGGCTGCTGGGGCGAAAGTGGGCGCCACCCCCTCTTCTTTGAAGCCTGCAAACTTGCAATAGATTTCTATAGTCGCCTTGAAAGCACTGAAAATGAACTTCTCTCCGCTGCATTTCACGAGCAGATTATGCTGGGCCTTCCTTGGTACACCAACATCTCTAATCTTCTCACCAAATATAACTTCCCCCACTCATCCTCTTCAAAATCCAAGCTCTCTACCCAAATCAGTCACAACATGACAGAAGAATTTGTGGATACCTGGAAATCTGCCAAGGCATCCTCACCTAAATTAGAATTCTACAATCAAATTAAACATGATTTTGAACCAGAAACATACTTAGGAGTGGTTAAGATCCCCGATGCTCGGAAAAGCTTAACAAGGTTTCGTATTAGCTGCCACAATCTTTACATTGAGAGGGGCCGTTACGAAACCCCCCTAGTACCAAGAGAACATCGATGGTGCACTTTTTGCTTTTTCAGCAAGGGGCTTAAGCCTATTGAGGACGAAATTCATGTTCTAACTGACTGTTTACTCTACTCCTCAGTTAGAGAAAAATTTAACTTCCATCCCAAAAATATTACTGACCTAGCCGGTTTGCTATCCGATAAAACACTAGACCCTACAAAATTTACTGCCACAGCAAGAGCAATCCATTCAATTCTCTCTGTGAACGAAAATTTTACAGCCTACTATAAGAGCCCAGATTTCCACTCAAATACTGGCCAATGCATAATGCTATAGGACCTCAAAAATAGTATTATAAAACATTTCTATTTTATCCCTACACATTTGTAAATAACTAGAATTGTGTAACCTTAAATTATTTCAGAATTATAACTATTGTGAATTCAATAAAATAATTATCACTTTTGTATCCTTGTATCCTTGTATCCTTGTATCCTTGTATCCTTGTATCCTTGTATCCTACGTTTACAAGAAATTTATGTTCAATTTACCTGTTCTCTCCTGTTTTTCTTTCTCCAAACCCTGATGACCAGCACAGTCAGGAGGAGGAGCACTGCAGGGATAGACAACCACGCTAAGGACACACATTTTCCCATCAGATAAGGTACACTGAAGCTTTTTGCTGGGCATGGATCCCCCTTGAAGGTTAGTCCATTGCAAGCAGTGTTCAATGGGCAAACTGAGCATCTCTTGATTGCAACATCAAATTTATATCCTGGCTTGCAACCATCTGAATAAGTAACAGATTCTGATTTTAAAATCATTAAATGTGAAAAATGCAAAGGGAAATTGAATCAACTTCTTAAATTAAATAGATAAAATTATAGAAAAATAGTTAAAATGATTGGATTACAGACAGATATAAATACCTAGACATTTTAACGAGGTTGAAACTACTCCAATTCTTGACTCAGAGTGGTCATCGCCAATGACCCTCTCATGGTGCAGCCAACAAGTACCATTCTGAACGAAAGAAACTCTTGAGCAACCATCTTGCGATCTACAGCCCAGGATGCAAGCTTTAATGTCTGTCTGTCTCAGCACTCCTAGAACACTGCCAGCTCCAAAAACATTGTCCTCGTAACAACCATGTTCTGATGTTTAAACAATTGGCCATATTATTTATGATGAAGATGGTCAAGAATTTTATAGGGAATAAGGACCAAATATAAATGAGTAAAGTTGGTTACTACATAACTATGTTACATATCAATTTAATCTCAGAAACATTCTCCCTTGAATAATTTTTGATTTGAAAGTTGACTTACCATGAAAACAATCAGCCAGATAAGTTGATCCTTCAAGAGAATCTTTGCCATTTGGACAAGCTGAACAAGAATGAGAGGACATATTGCTAAAAGTTCTCCTGCCACAAACAATACAATTATCAGTTGCAGAATTGTACATCATTCCTGCCTTGCACATCACTGGTTATGGATTTAAGTTAGTCTAATTAAACATAATTTCGATTTCAATTTACTCATTCTAGATTGAAGTAAAATTGTATCTAAATAGAACACTGTGATCCTGTACTCAACCATCCCCTTTCAATTCAGATAAGCTGTACTTACTGCAGCGATCAGAGCAGTCTAACTTTTCTGAGCTATTTCCATTGCACTGTAGACCAAAACAAACAGAATCAAAACAGGTTCTGTTCCTTATCCTATAACCTAATGAGGTAAATGATTTTTCTCCTGTCTCACAAAAGCAGTTTCCCCAGTTTGTCCAGTCGCTCCATTTCCCATCAACTGTCAAACCTTAAAATGGGAAATCAGCTGTGGTGATTGATTAGATATTTTAATGACTGATCAGATGAAATACATTAGCTTAGTCATCATTTATAATTCTTGGAATGGCCGACAGCAGACTTGTCCCTATTCATTGAAAGGTAATTGGAATCAATTGTAATTGTGCAGTCATTTTTGAGACTTACAGCACTGATCATCACAAGTTCCGTTGTCGAGTAGTTCACCAACACAGTCCCTGGTAAGATGTTAAACTTGTAAGATAAGGGAACAGATTTTAGCTGATTATTACAAGTTCATATTTAAAAGAATATTTTGTTGATTCCAAGTCAGGATTGTTTTATAACATATATTAATTTTCCCTTACGTTCCATAGCAAGAAGGTGGTGGGTTGGTACAAGATCTGGTTCTGTTCCATGTTCCTGTTCCTGTACTATGATCACAATCACACCCACTCCAATTTCCCCAATCTGTCCAGTTTCCGTTCACTGTCTGACCTGAATATAATCATATTATATAGAAAACCAGCAGCAAAGTTCTTGTTTCAGTGTACTGGCAATGAAATCTGAAACTTAAATCATTCTTTTGTTAGACAGGTAATGGAAATCGATTCTAATTTCATCCAGATTTATGTTTAATTCGACGATGCACTACTTTATTTGAGACTTACAGCATTGATCATTACAAGTTCCGTTGTCGAGTAGTTCACCAACACAGTCCCTGGTAAGATGTTAAAAACTTAAAATATAAGGGAACAGATTTTAGCTGATTATTACAAGTTCATATTAAAGAATACTTTGTTAATGCCAAGTCAGGATCGTTTAGAAAAATCTGTTAAATTTTTCCCTTACGTTCCATAGCAAGAAGGTGATGGGTTGGTACAAGATCTGGTTCTGTTCCATGTTCCTGTTCCTGTACTATGATCACAATCACACCCACTCCAATTTCCCCAATCCGTCCAGTTTCCGTTCACTGTCTGACCTGAAATATTTTGAATACTGAAATCTGAGGTATAATCATTCTTATACATAAGGCTGGCAATGGACATGAATTCTATTTCAGATTTATGTTTAATTCCACGATGCAGTACAATTTATTTGAAACTTACAGCATTGATCATTACAAGTTCCGTTGTCGAGTAGTTCACCAACACAGTCCCTGGTAAGATGTTAAACTTGTAAAATAAGGGAACAGATTTTAGCTGATTATTACAAGTTCATTTTAAAAAGAATACTTTGTAAATGCCAAGTCAGGATCGTTTAGAAAAATCTGTTAAATTTTTCCCTTACGTTCCATAGCAAGAAGGTGATGGGTTGGTACAAGATCTGGTTCTGTTCCATGTTCCTGTTCCCGTACTGTGATCACAATCACACCCACTCCAATTTCCCCAATCCGTCCAGTTTCCGTTCACTGTCTGACCTGAAATATTTTGAATACTGAAATCTGAGGTATAATCATTCTTATACATAAGGCTGGCAATGGACATGAATTCTATTTCAGATTTATGTTTAATTCCACGATGCAGTACAATTTATTTGAAACTTACAGCATTGATCATTACAAGTTCCGTTGTCGAGTAGTTCACCAACACAGTCCCTGGTAAGATGTTAAACTTGTAAGATAAGGGAACAGATTTTAGCTGATTATTACAAGTTCATATTTAAAAGAATATTTTGTTGATTCCAAGTCAGAATTGTTTTATAACATATATTAATTTTCCCTTACGTTCCATAGCAAGAAGGTGGTGGGTTGGTACAAGATCTGGTTCTGTTCCATGTTCCTGTTCCTGTACTGTGATCACAATCACACCCACTCCAATTTCCCCAATCTGTCCAGTTTCCGTTCACTGTCTGACCTGAAATATAATCATATTATATAGAAAACCAGCAGCAAAGTTCTTGTTTCAGTGTACTGGCAATGAAATCTGAAACTTAAATCATTCTTTTGTTAGACGGGCAATGGAAATCAATTCTAATTTCATCCAGATTTATGTTTAATTCGACGATGCACTACTTTATTTGAGACTTACAGCATTGATCATTACAAGTTCCGTTGTCGAGTAGTTCACCAACACAGTCCCTGGTAAGATGTTAAAAACTTAAAATATAAGGGAACAGATTTTAGCTGATTATTACAAGTTCATATTTAAAAGAATATTTTGTTGATTCCAAGTCAGGATTGTTTTATAACATATATTAATTTTCCCTTACGTCCCATAGCAAGAAGGTGATGGGTTGGTACAAGATCTGGTTCTGTTCCATGTTCCTGTTCCAGTACTGTGATCACAATCACACCCACTCCAATTTCCCCAATCTGTCCAGTTTCCGTTCACTGTCTGACCTGAAATATTTTGAATACTGAAATCTGAGGTATAATCATTCTTATATATTAGGCTGGCAATGGACATGAATTCTATTTCAGATTTATTTTTAATTCCATGATGCAGTACAATTTATTTGAAACTTACAGCATTGATCATTACAAGTTCCGTTGTCGAGTAGTTCACCAACACAGTCCCTGGTAAGATGTTAAAAACTTAAAATATAAGGGAACAGATTTTAGCTGATTATTACAAGTTCATATTTAAAAGAATATTTTGTTGATTCCAAGTCAGGATTGTTTTATAACATATATTAATTTCCCCTTACGTTCCATAGCAAGAAGGTGATGGGTTGGTACAAGATCTGGTTCTGTTCCATGTTCCTGTTCCAGTACTGTGATCACAATCACACCCACTCCAATTTCCCCAATCTGTCCAGTTTCCGTTCACTGTCTGACCTGAAATATAATCATATTATATAGAAAACCAGCAGCAAAGTTCTTGTTTCAGTGTACTGGCAATGAAATCTGAAACTTAAATCATTCTTTTGTTAGACAGGCAATGGAAATCGATTCTAATTTCATCCAGATTTATGTTTAATTCGACGATGCACTACTTTATTTGAGACTTACAGCATTGATCATCACAAGTTCCGTTGTCGAGTAGTTCACCAACACAGTCCCTGGTAAGATGTTAAAAACTTAAAATATAAGGGAACAGATTTTAGCTGATTATTACAAGTTCATATTAAAGAATACTTTGTTAATGCCAAGTCAGGATCGTTTAGAAAAATCTGTTAAATTGTTCCCTCACGTTCCATAGCAAGAAGGTGATGGGTTGGTACAAGATCTAGTTCTGTTCCATGTTCCTGTTCCAGTACTGTGATCACAATCACACCCACTCCAATTTCCCCAATCTGTCCAGTTTCCGTTCACTGTCTGACCTGAAATATTTTGAATACTGAAATCTGAGGTATAATCATTCTTATATATTAGGCTGGCAATGGACATGAATTCTATTTCAGATTTATGTTTAATTCCACGATGCAGTACAATTTATTTGAAACTTACAGCATTGATCATTACAAGTTCCGTTGTCGAGTAGTTCACCAACACAGTCCCTGGTAAGATGTTAAAACTGTAAATATAAGGGAACAGATTTTAGCTGATTATTACAAGTTCATATTTAAAAGAATATTTTGTTGATTCCAAGTCAGGATTGTTTTATAACATATATTAATTTCCCCTTACGTTCCATAGCAAGAAGGTGATGGGTTGGTACAAGATCTGGTTCTGTTCCATGTTCCTGTTCCTGTACTATGATCACAATCACACCCACTCCAATTTCCCCAATCTGTCCAGTTTCCGTTCACTGTCTGACCTGAAATATAATCATATTATATAGAAAACCAGCAGCAAAGTTCTTGTTTCAGTGTACTGGCAATGAAATCTGAAACTTAAATCATTCTTTTGTTAGACAGGCAATGGAAATCGATTCTAATTTCATCCAGATTTATGTTTAATTCGACGATGCACTACTTTATCTAAGTAAACTATAGGTAAAAATATAATATTAATCATAAGCTAAAATGTACTAATCTTTGTATTCTAAATGGGGAAAAAGAAGAAACATTGTCAGTCAGTCGAGAAAATTGTCAGTCAGGCTATATGGCAGCTTTGTAGATGTTGTGACTATGCTAGTAGTGGTCCCAGGCTTGCGACTGGAATTGCGGTGTTAAATCGATTTAATGGTACCAACGATCCACCTCCCACTTGTTGTTTGGTACTTAGCATTAATAGTGTTAGCTGTAGCCATTTATAGCAAGAATCTTAAAACTAAAGGGGATGACAAGGAAAAGAGGAAGGAAAAAGAATAACGGGACAAACAATTAATTAAAGTATTTATAGGAGCATTAGATATTGTAATTACAAGCTTCAATAATAAATCACTGACTAAAACTTCTAATTAAAATGACACTTGGTACGCTCGCCCATTTTCACTGGTCAGTCTGAACTTCGGTTTAGCACGTTGTACACTTATTCACCTAAGTTTCAGAATTTGTTCAGTTTAGCAGAGTTAGTACCCGTGTTTCAATAAATCAAAAGATATCAGGGGAGTTCTTTAATAATGTTACGGTCATCTAGAATACCGAACTTCCTGAAAACGTTATCATATTTCCTCAGACAACGTTTAATGCCTTTAATCAGTCTATCACGGCTATATCCTCTATCAATTAGAATTTTGAATATTTTGTGAAGATGGGAGGTAAAGATATCCAATCTAGTGCAAACATTACCATATCTAAGAACAGAGACTAACAGCATTGATCATCACAAGTTCCGTTGTCGAGTAGTTCACCAACACAGTCCCTGGTAAGATGTTAAACTGGTAAGATAAGGGAACAGATTTTAGCTGATTATTACAAGTTCATTTTAAAGAATACTTTGTTAATGCCAAGTCTGGATCGTTTAGAAAAATCTGTTAAATTGTTCCCTTACGTTCCATAGCAAGAAGGTGATGGGTTGGTACAAGATCTGGTTCTGTTCCATGTTCCTGTTCCTGTACTATGATCACAATCACACCCACTCCAATTTCCCCAATCTGTCCAGTTTCCGTTCACTGTTTGACCTGAAATATTTGAATACTGAAATCTGAGGTATAATCATTCTTATATATTAGGCTGGCAATGGACATGAATTCTATTTCAGATTTATGTTTAATTGCACGATGCACTACTTTATTTGAAACTTACAGCATTGATCATTACAAGTTCCGTTGTCGAGTAGTTCACCAACACAGTCCCTGGTGAAATGTTAAACTTGTAAGATAAGGGAACAGATTTTGGCTGATTATTACAAGTTCATATTAAAGAATACTTTGTTAATGCCAAGTCAGGATCGTTTAGAAAAATCTGTTAAATTGTTCCCTTACGTTCCATAGCAAGAAGGTGATGGGTTGGTACAAGATCTGGTTCTGTTCCATGTTCCTGTTCCTGTACTGTGATCACAATCACACCCACTCCAATTTCCCCAATCTGTCCAGTTTCCGTTCACTGTCTGACCTGATTTTAAGTTTATGTATAAGTATAACTATATAATAATATGTATTATATATGATATACACAGTAAAACCTCTTTGTACCGCACCCCTCTATATCAGATCTATTATTTTTTATCCCCCAAATTTTTTGGTCAATTAGCCAGTGTTTTGATATTTTAATGAAGTAATGTGATATTCCAGTGCTCACATCGAATTACTAGGGATACTAGGAATTGGCCATTGGGATCAAGGAAACCTCTCTATCCCGGGTTTTTTTCTACACCTCCCCCGAGGTGCCCGGTATAAGAAGGTTTGACTGTATGTATCATAAAGTGATAAGCATTATATATGAATTGCCCCAAATGGTTAGCTCAAACTAAAAATTCAAATTTACCAATTTTTATTTTTATCATGCCATAAGATTCAATCTGTTTTTAAAAAATATATTGAATTGATTCGAATTAATTGCCTTGCCTAGTTGCCTTCTTTCATTTTCACAATATCTTTGAATATAATGTACTTACAACATTGACTGTCGCAGTTTCCAGTGTTAGAAGATGATCCTGAACAGGAAGCTCCCCCACAAGATGGTGAGGGATTGTTACAGGATCTAGTTCGGGTCCATGTTCCGGTGCCAGAATTGTGGTTACAGTTACAGCTGCTCCATCCACCCCAGCTACTCCATCCTCCATTTGTTGTACGACCTGATTACATTTTAAACTGGTTTGCACCTTTGTCATGGACACTACAGCTGATGTGAGTTTAAGAAAAATGTAGATTGTATGTCCGTTAGAATGTCTAATCGATTTGATCGGCTGAATTACCTATTAAAACATTCGGTACTGAGTGCATAGTGAGTAGCCTCAAACATGATATCAAGTAGCAGGAACCCGTCTAACCCTTAAATGGTGTCAAGACTCGAGAGACTAAAATAATTATTACCTATTTAATTCACACCACTTGGGAGTCCAAATTTTTGGCACTAAAATTCTTATTCTTTGGCCATTTTTTTTCATGCTGATTTGAAGGCCATTAAAGCATTTGACCCAGTCAAAAAAGTTTGAGTTGTATATCTTTTACGGTTTTTGCGGAAAGTCGCGTTAAAGTTGATGCCATGGTGTCAGTAAAATGGCACGGAACCATATCGTCTCGTTTTATATATAATAAAATAGCGAAGCATGGGAGCACAATATGCCATTAAATTCATTGATACCTAACTGATTCGAATTGAAACTACTTTGCCTTCTCTCATTTTCACAATATCTTTGAATATAATGTACTTACAACATTGACTGTCGCAGTTTCCAGTGTTAGAAGATGATCCTGAACAGGAAGCTCCCCCACAAGATGGTGAGGGATTGTTACAGGATCTAGTTCGGGTCCATGTTCCGGTGCCAGAATTGTGGTTACAGTTACAGCTGCTCCATCCACCCCAGCTACTCCAACCACCGCCTGTAGAATTGGGAGATTAATAATATTTCTTTAATTGGATGCACTCATTTTTGGTCATTCATAATGCATCAATATAGAATTAATTATTATTATTATTATATTATTTGTATGGGACAATATTCATATCTTACGGCCAGAATTCTTTTTATTGTTAAATCCAAGATATATGTACTTCCTACCAAAAAGCAATCAATTTTGATGGCTTACCAGCTTTCCTCATTGACAGATACCCGTTGTTCTTATATAATCCTCCACTCCAATTGAACTTGATCTTTTCAGAACGCTGAGTCCAGGTGCTTCGACATTGTGAAAACCCGTTCATATAATCTCTCGCAAAGTTGAAGTTAAGGACCGTCCTACCATTGCACTCTATAATCAAGCTGGTGCCTGTTCTGGTGATTCGCCACACTTTAGTCTCATCACGTGGAACTCCGATTAGAGGCTTGTTCGTAGCCCATGAGTCGGTCATGCAGTACTTGATTACACAGATCCATCTGTTTGAGTTAATATCCGTGCATTTGAAATTGACGAACTTCCATTCGTCGCTGGGAAAAACAAAGTAAACAGTTATTGGGGCTTCAACCTGATTTCTAGTGGTTCGTAGTTCCAGGGTTTCGTCTAATCGTAGACAGGTGCTCTGTTGATATTGCGGAGTAATCCACCCTAGGAGCGAGGAATGAAGATAAAAGATTATTTAAATGGAATCTTCATTCCATTTAGAGTTAGCCAAATTATAAGATTTGTAAATCGAATTACCTAAGAGTAAGATAATTTATTACCCATTTGATATTTATAGCACGATCCCTACCTGAAGTTTAAAAAATCCAGTGAACTAAATGGTATCAGGAAATCAATCAAACTATCTTAAGAATGATAAAAAATGTTACCTGATGATCCAAGGCATAGGTGTGCTGCCCCTGTGAGAACAATGACTAGCGTCAAACTGTTCCACATTCCTCAGCACGTCGCTTAGAATTTCGGTGTTGTCAAGCAAAATAACTAGATAAATTGATGATCTTATTCTGAATCGTTCTCCCTGGAGTCTGGTAGATAATCAAATTCCTACCTTATAGGGTTAGGGGTAGGAATACCTAATATGTTAATATCCGGCTGTCCACTCTCCAACCCACTATCTTGGCCTTCACTCAAGAATATAAGAATAATGTGAAATTTGATGAATGGAGTATTTCACGATTAATTAAAGTAGATTTCAAGAATTAATTGCTTTCCTTTACGTCATGACTTGTTGGATTTTATAAGTTCAAATTTTAAAATAACCAAATAACAGTTAAGAGACCAACAGGGCAACAGTGACAAAACATTACAATTCGGTCAAAATATGATCATTACACTAAATACATAATTGTACAGTTTTTGCGAATTCTGAGTTTTTGCGAATTCTGAGTTTTTGCGAATTCTGAGTTTTTGCGAATCATCGTAATTTAATCTACAAATTTTGAGTTTCAGTTTTTAGTTTGGACAAATATCATACTATATCCCTACTCAAAGTCAAATAAGGTCTACTGCTATACGGAGTATGTATACTAAACGGAGATATATTACGTTGTTAACGATAACTAGCACCGTACTTAGTACAGTCAACAGTGGGTAGTGGAATACAAAAATATATGCTGATTTGTGCAGAGTCTCGTCTAGAATAATAGAGTATGGGAGGTGGCAATTAAATATCTCACACCATTATAAGTTGTGGAACACAACAAGAAAATTTAGAATAATCTTGTGCGAGGGTAGGGACCCAGATGTCGTTTCTAACCCAAATTAACTTTAAGTTTAAGGAGGCTTCTCATCAGTAGCCGCACCTCCTTACTCGGTTTCTGAACTGGAATTCTATGGGCTTTCAGGCGGCCAGACCGAGTATTATCATCCCATCCTTCTAGAGTTCATCACAAGTAGCACCCACCTTGAAGATCTTGACACCCAGACACACGTACAACCCATTGCATTGGTAGTGGAATACTTCATCTGTGACGACAAACAGACAACAGTGCATAGATGGTAGATAATTATCTACTATATAATATGCACTGTTTGTCGTCACAGATGAAGTTTTAAAGAAGAAGATCATGTTGTTTCCAACAACCAAGTGCCCAAGTCAGGTGACCAAATGTCTGATTTCATTGGTTACTATTGTGAATTATTATATATATATATATATGTACTCAGCCATTCTTTTTGTTTGATTATTACTCAGTATTTTTTAGTTTTGTACCGTTTTGAGTCACATAGTTTTGTACGTCTTCCTAAGACTTGTTTTCCTTTCCTAGTTTGTAAGTTATTTTAAAGATTTGTGTATATTCCAGTTGCTTTTAGAACAATTTTATCTCAGATAACGATGTTTAATAAAATGATGCAAAGAACTATTTCGAAGATCTAATCAACACCGACTTTTAATGTGTAGGAGTACAGCAACGAAATATATATATAGTATATTATAAGTGAAGAGTCAAATGAGCTGTAGACCAGCAGGCTGAGTATCTTTCCATTTAGATTTATTGGGAAACGTTACGAAACTTCTATGGAATATAATAAGTATAATTTATAAACCAAATCTGTAATCCCTGAAATTTGTGACTTACGTGATCTGAGTCATTTAAGAGTTGCGTATGAGTACATAATGTGGGAAGTAAATTGGGTGACTAGCCACTAGGGCTGAGTTATGAGTTAAGTTTCAAGTAAAAAATGTTTTGAAAGCCTTTGTATTTTTTAAGCGCCCACTTGTTACATATATTGTATTCCCTTAATATTCAACTTATGTATTAATCTAAATATAATATGATCATGTTACACGTTATATATAACAGCAAAAGCGACAGTGTCCCTGACATTCTTAGTATCAATTTGACGGAACCTGTGACATCTTACTATATTATATATATAAAGCGAGACAATATATATATTGGTATTATTTTATACATATCGGATCGTTTGCCCGCCAATTTGATTTTTTTCAATTGTTCGAATTATATAATATATATATATATATCTGTTGCCATTTTACTGACACCAAGTCATCATCTTAAAGACGACTTTCCGCGAAAACCGTGACAGATATACCATTGAAACTTTTTGACTGTGTCGAATGCTTTTATGGCCTTTTGACCAGTACCGTATGAAGAAATAAAAAATTGGCCAAGAAATATGAACTTTAGGTCCCGATATTTGAGCTGTCTCTTGACACCACTTTGGGGTTACACGGGTACCGGTAGGACATATTCAAAATTTTTATTGCATCAAAGTTTTCTCCGGATATACTACTTTCAGTACCTCGATAGCATAGCGACTTGTGTCACTCTCACCGACCTCACTGATTGGTCACTGGTAAAAATTTCAATCAAAACCGCCAAATTTTGGACAAGGCGGCAGCAGAAAAGCTTCTCTTAAAAATCTTACAAAATCTCTTCTCTATTCTGATGATTTTCCGTTTAACAAAGCTTTCTTTACGAATAGGAAGAATTATAGATCTGTACTACTATCTGTTTGGATTAGATCTATTCAAAGTTTTAAAAATGTTTTTCAACAGTAGATTATCATGGAAGAATCATCTTATGAAGACGAAGATGTGGTTCCAGAGGAGGAGGATGAGAATACACGGGTTGGTGGAATTTAAAATTTAAAAGATTTTAAAACTTTATTAGACAACAAGAATTGCGCTCGTTTTTTCGTTAAAGCGAATGCTAGATTTCCATTTACTACAAGCTCTGATCAGTTAACTTCATCATATTATGCATTAAATACGGGAAAGTAGAAACACATGTGATTCAATCCATTTGCCGCAGAAATTGCCGTACAACGTAACTTTTATCAGTAATTAAATAAATTGGATGCAAAAAGTGAACTATAGACATCAGTATTCAGTACACTATACGTGTCACGTACAAATTGAGCTTAATGCATAATGCATTAAAATACACGTGCGCTGACTACAGGCTATACATAACATCTCTGTAAGCAACCCTTGCACGCCGCGCGCATCTTTCTCGTTGTCATGATAACGGGTGGAAGACTGACGAAATTTTAAACCCACCTACCTCATTCTCCAAAATCCCTATTTTTCTGAAAAAAACGACCATTCGTAATCTTTCACTTCACATTTTTGCAAACTTGTGAATGGAAAATCCTACAAAAATGTAGGATAGGGGAATGGAGGAATTAGCCATTTCGTCAACACAACCTCCTGTTGAATTAATTCAAAAACAACATACCCACAATTCATGTAACTATCAGGTAACGAAAGAATGCTTGGAGGCGTTCCACCAAAAGGATAGTATTTGTGAAGCGAGTATTTTCAAGACGGTCAAGAAGTATTTTAACTCTGGAGGCACACCTGAAGAGGTTACTTTTCTTTTCAATAATTTGATATTATAACTTGATCCAAGAATATTATAAATAAATTTAATTGTGGTTGTTTTGGCTCATTGATTGAGCAATTCGAATTTTAAAATCTTCAAAAATTTGCAAATCTTAAAGTTTAGAAAAGTCCTGACACTCTTCTTATCTGTAACATGCGAGAAGTGTTATCATCCTCTCTTTTTCCAGGTAGTAAACGTGTTAGCAGAGAGTTTCCAAGGAATAGGGAACTTAGCAAGACAGTTGGTCTTATGGCTAGAGTTCTGCGGGGAGTCCACGTCAGGGATAGAGAGAATGGTGGAGGATCATGTCAAGGACTTGCTCGAGGAACACTTTGATCCTAAGAAAGCTGATACAATATTCTCTGAAGAAGGTAATTATTATTATAGGTTTCAGTGGAATTTTAAACACAATAGTAATGTCTTGCTGATACTTTGACTTCTCATTAATGATGTACATATTAAACTCATTTGATGTCCAGTTTAAACTCACGTAATACCTTAAGTTAAATTTGAAAAAATTACAAAATAGTGATAATACAAAAAATAACTCAGTTAATACCTTCAGGTGATTTACCGGGTTGGCTTGGTGAGATGATCAGTTATCCAACATGGAGGAACTTGTTTTACAGTCTAGCTGACAAACATCCTGATTGTATCATGCTAAACTTTACTATAAAACTAATCAGCGATGCTGGATTCACTGACGAAATCAGCAGGTTCGTGCACATCCACCGTGCAGGTTCGTGCACATTCACCGTGTATTGTCAGCAGGTTCGTGCACATCCACCGTGCAGGTTTGTGCACATCCACCGTGCAGGTTCGTGCACAGTCACCGTGCAGGTTCGTGCACAGTCACCGTGCAGGTTCGTGCACATTCACCGTGTATTGTCAGCAGGTTCGTGCACATCCACCGTGCAGGTTCGTGCACATTCACCGTGCAGGTTCGTTTACAGTCACCGTGTATTGTCAGCAGGTTCGTGCACATTCACCGTGTATTGTCAGCAGGTTCGTGCACATTCACCGTGCAGGTTCGTGCACATTCATCGTGCAGGTTCGTGCACAGTCACCGTGCAGGTTCGTGCACATTCACCGTGTATTGTCAGCAGGTTCGTGCACATTCACCGTGTATTGTCAGCAGGTTCGTGCACATCCACCGTGTATTGTCAGCAGGTTCGTGCACATTCACCGTGTATTGTCAGCAGGTTCGTGCACATCCACCGTGTATTGTCAGCAGGTTCGTGCACATTCACCGTGCAGGTTCGTTCACATCCACCGTGTATTGTCAGATTGTTGTGATATGATGGATGGTGCGGATGACATTTGAACAAAATAGGACGATGAAAGAGATTCATAGCATTTTTAAACATTTTTGAAGAAAGCAGCTCATTTTTGCCCATCAACAAACAATATTTCGTGTTTTGTCCCTAATCTTATCTACTTTCCTTATCAGTGTGAGTACAGCCTCTCAGCAGATAGATGTTTTCTCACGTATCTTAAAGACAAGTGTAGCTAGCATTCTGAGATTTAGAGGATCCAGTTTGGAGAATATCATTACAGACCTAGTGAAACTGGTG